AGACTGGCTAAGTCGTCTTGTTCTTGCGTTTGGGCAACACTAGTTACATAACTATTCTACCGTAGTCTTTGAGAAAGAATTCTAAATTCCGGATTACGACCGCCGAACAGCTCTTGAAGCCAAATAGCTTTACAAATTGTCCGCGAAAGCTTTATGAAAGTCTAATATCTTCAGAAAAAATATACATTGACTTATGGCCCTAGTGGGAATCAAACATGCGACCTATATAACCTATATAATGCCATCACGTGCAATGTAGTAAAGATTAAAGTTGTCAAACATTAACCATATGTACAATTGGACCAATAATCACAGATACGTCATAGATATTAAAATAACACTACACGATAATACTTCGTATACAGGTAATAAAGATATTCCATAAACCGCCAAGTTATAGCGTCACAATTAAAAATAGATCGAACTCATTTGCTTACCGAAATCATTATCGAATTTTACCAATGAATCACGTTTTTATTAATAATCATTACTCTCAGTGAACTCACATTTAAATTCTCGACTCGCGTCATACTATTTATCTAAGTTTACAAACACTATGATAACATGATTTAATGATTTTTAAAGATATGTAAAAGATAGTATACAATTGTATTCTTTATTTTCTATTTCGTTAATTTTTATTGCTCACTTATTATAATTTTAAAATATAAGGTAACACTTGCTTGGTAAAAAAAGTTTTAACGTAAAATTTTTCTTAACAAAAAATTAGACTAAGAAATACTACAAGTGTTTGTCTATTTGGTATATTATAAATATATCCGGGTGCGTCTTTGAATGATAAACATACCTATAACATCAATGTATCGACATCAAGAACGTCACGCATCGTTGACCCTGTTCAAATTCTCAATACGTTTTTAGATGAGCTAGGAAGAGATATTTCAAAACAAACAAAACAATTTTAAGTAAAATGGCTATATATTCGACGCCAAAGGTTTTAATGAGAGCTATTATGGTGAATAAATAAAAAACTTTCTTTTACAAGCCCTAGAAAGCTGTATGTTATGATTATATTTTTCCAAGTTAAATGCGATGCGATACCCTTTTTAGTTATTCTAAGTCTGTAAAAGAGCGCAGCTTGTCACAAATTTGAAAGTTGGAAATGAAATCGATCGATTAGTTCGTTTCAACTTTAATCCCACCGCTGGGGAAGCTCCTCTCTCGTAAGAAGAGTTGTAAGAACCCCCATGTATTTCCTATTTCCAAACTTCAGCTGATACTGGAAGTTTTCTTAGAAAGAGAAATACCGAAGTGAACTGTCTGACCGACCCGAGATTCTACGCCAGGATCTCATTTAGATAAGAAATTAATTAAAGTACAATAGTCTAACAGAAGTGTATGTAATGATCGTGATAATGTTTCATTAACAAGCTAGGCATAACTACGCTTAGCCAATGCGGTGCTTATAATGTGTGCCTTATCATTTAACACCAGCGAGTCAGCCTTGACAGCGCCACGCGATTCTAACCAACAAGTGCATGCTATGCGATGCTTTTTACCCGAAACCGAAAAAGAGGGTAATGATTTTCTCAGTCCATACGATATGTAGAAGGTATACGAGGGAAACTAACGAAACAATAGTGCCGCTTTCTTTTGTTTTAATGATAGAGGGGGACAGACAAGCATGAGGGTCACTTGATAGAAAAGATGGGCTAGCGACGTATTTTTGCTATGGATATGCGGAATAATAATGGAGTGTTTATAAAGAAATATGAATTCAAAGTCAATAATTAAAAATACTTAAGCTAGGAAAACGACCCCAGTATTTAATATCAAAATAAAGATAAAATCTTATGTTTAGGCGTCCATTAATTAAAAAAAACTTTAACGGTTTAAAACGCGATATATTAGTTAAATTGATTTGAATATTTTTTAAATCCTTTCTAATTTCCGTGATTCGTTTACTATTGTAAAGTGTTATGTTCTTATTCATCTTCTGAACTGCAGATGTCTAGTTAATAAACATTATTGCATTATATTAAACACAGGAAACAGTTTTAAATAAAACGATTAACCGTGGGAAAACACGTTTTAAAGAGTTTCTGTTAATTTTCATGTGACTTTTATTGCGTCATTAGTATTTCCTCAGTAAAAATGTGTAAAGGTGAAAATAATTATAATTTATCAATGTACACATTAATCTTAGTCGTTCGTGGGCACTTTTACTTGTAAATAAAATTTTAATAGCCATACATAACTCTGTAAAGGAAATCTTGTAATAAAAATTAGCTCATTTAGACTTCATATGCATTAGTTATCAATATTTCAAATGTTTATTTTTATACAACTAAATAGGTCTGTAAGAAACCAAAATATACTTTGTTATAAGAAAAATATGTTTGCGCTCTGTGTAAGGCAATCTATAGCAATATTATATTATACATAAGGGCTGACGAGTTTGTTTGTTTGTTTACAACTTATAAATTCGAACTACTAGTTTCTGAGTACTAGTCCGAATTTCTTTTTGTCTTGGAAAGACCGTTTATCGATCAGTTTTGATAAAACCGTGAAAATTATTAATCTTAGAGTGCTTCCGTTGCGCGCACTGCGACGGAAGAAACCAAATTATAAGTATAAGAGAATGATATATGTAGATTTTTATGCAAATCAAATTTCGTCGCAATTAATGCAATATTAGCAATTACTTGTGAGTGTTGTATCAACATAAATAAATAATATTAATCTTAAAACTACAAAACAACATCAGTTGGTATCGCATATGTATAATTGTATCAACAAAACATCGAATTCGTATAAAATCCTACGTGAACTCGGAAACGTGGTTATTTCGGGAAACCGCCTGGAGCCGCTCCAAAAGCGAAAACGCAAGATCCCGGTCACTTTCCTCACTGACTCAACTGAATCGTGAGTAACACTTTCCGGACGATGTTGCCCACTCACAGCCACCGTTTTGAAGGAATTAATTTACTTAAAAAAATATACCTTACAAAAGCTCAAAATAGAGTAACTACTATATTTCATGTTTTAAACCGTTAAAAGTGGTTTAATTAAATGCGTAGGTACTATTTGCGATTATTATAAAATACCTCCTATATTGTGCCGGATATTGATGCTAGCGTTTTTAGTACATTTCACTTATATATAATTAATATTTAAGTACAATGAAATCTTTTAAAAACTCTTTACTTGACATTCATCAAAATAATAACTTATTAAAACCGTACAAACTGTATTTTTGTATCAAGTGTTAACATTTTTTTTTAAACTACTCACGTCGAAATAGAAGTCAGTGACATTATTGAAGAAAAAAACTGTTCCTCGAATCTTTTGCTTGTGAAGCAGTAGGTATTTTTATCGACGAAAATAGTTTAAGAATGTCTTTTTGTGACAAGATCTGTTGAAACTAAATAAGTTTTATTGTAAACATTTTTATTAATACTGAAGCATTAGTGTATAGTATATTGTGTGTTAATGTTTCTATTTTATTATAACATTTAGTGGTTATAATGCGGGTTCAATATACATTGATACCATTACATCAATGAGGCCGTCAAAATTGGACGCAGTATGACATGAGAATCAAATCAAGTCTAATTGAAGAACTGGGTTTTTTGCATTTCAACTCAACATTAAACATCCGTAAGCAAAGCAAATATTTGGTGACAAAATATAGCTTAGTCTTTATCTAACTCGTCTCCAAGATCTAAGACGTCACGTCTATATCGCTAGATTAGTAAGCCCTTAAGTTCCGACTAATCTCCTAAACAGGCCAAGTGCGAGTTGGCAAATGAAAGCGAATGAGACATTGTCGAAATTCTGTTTCTGACATACTTCGTCATGATCAAAATATGTTATTTATTTCGCCAAAATACTAAAGCCGAGCGTTGAAATCTACGCTCTTAGACGTTCAACAAATTTAATTTTAAGCTGAAATTTTTACGCATTCCTTTAAAATATTCCTTTATATGATGCTCTCTTGTCCAATCATAATAATAATATCCCCGATATGCTTTATCCTTTAATTTTTATGAATTTTATCTATAATTTACTGTTAACTCTATTTTTTTCATAATTTTATATATTTTTTAGCTAAACTTTAAACAAAAACACGTATTACGATATGTCAATTTCCTTTCCGCGCGCTATCTTTGTGTTAATTGAAATGATCCTCACATTACCATCCATTCACCTGATTAGAGCCAATATACAAATGTTAACAGAAAATGATTTCCATTTTTGCAGTAAGATAAGAAAACAGACACGATCAATAAATCATTACTACTAAAGCAATAATGTTTAAAGATGATGTAAACGATGATGACGTCTCTACGTCGGTAACGAATATTCAATCGTTGATATTCTTGACACGGGTCACCTATAGCTGTATCAAATTATAATTAACTCCACAACGCTGTTAGTAGAATCCTTGACAACAATCAATGCACGTTAGATCATCACGGAAAACCTGTATTATTTCAAAACAAACACCTTTTCAATATTCTGTAAAGTTGACTTCTGCTAATCTTAGCGGTTTATTACGTTGTCACGCGTACATCTTGTTTTTGTACTCATCTCATCTTCTAGGTAAGCGACTGTAATTTAACTGATATCTAAACATTAGCCACGTTTTTGGTTAGTATATACCTACCTAATTTATCAATCAAGTAATTACGTGTTAACTTATATATGAATATTCCTTAGTACTATGTATTTGTAAATAGAAGTGTGTCTAACACGACTCTCATTTACATAAATACACAATGATTATTGTCGATTTAAATTTTACATATGTACCTAAAGTCGGTCGAGCGACATGAAAATTTCAGGTTTCGGACGTGTCTAATTGGTGGATAAAAGGCATAAGGACACGCTGAGGCGCAATAGCCTAATTTGATAAGCTGATATAAATCAGCTTATGATGTCCTTACTTCCCTTGTAGATCGATCATATCCGATATTTGGAGACTTTAACTTGTTCCGGCAAGTGAAGAGTGTTTGTTTTTATCGAATGAGAAATACCTGTCCGAAAAATCTTTCCCTCGCTGAAGCCATGCTCTCGCTGCGTGGAGACTCGTTTTTAGGTTCTGGTTGAATGGGTTGCGTCATTTTTGGTTCCTCGGTGGTTTTCACCTCTTCTTTGGCCACCGTTTTCGCTGGCTCCAATGGGGCCGCCGCGTCTTCAGTTTTCTCAAGTGTGGCTTTAGCACTTTGTACCGCGTTCGGCTTAGCACCGCCCGTTCCGTTGGCCTTTTTTACAGCCTTCCCCTTCTTCTTGCTCTTCTTCTTGGGCTTGAGCTTGCCTTCGCGGAGGTCACTGGCGCAGCACTGCACATTACCCATGTCGAATTGCGAGCATATCGCGGTAGCTCGGTCGGGAGTCGTTCGATCGTTCGAGGCGCGTCGGCGTCGGCGCCGGCACACAGAATGAAAATTTCGCGCTCGAGGCGTCGCGGTGCTCCCGCCAATAATTTCCCCGAAAACTCTACGTTAACCACCAATTACGCGGATGGCGTCCGCGAAGGATCGTACCCGAAAGCCGAAGCGTGTACCGGCCGCGGTGGCGTCATCGCTCGCCCCGGCCCCCGCTCCGCAAGGTCAAGGCACTTATTGTTCTTGCTGGACAACTAAACGAGCCAAACACCTATACTAAACAGCTGTTCGGGCCCATCACCTCTAGGACTAAAACAGGCGCCTAATACAGCACGTTGTATATCGATCAATGGATGTTTACTTTCTGCTGCCAAGGAAACGGCATCCAAGCGTGTTGGTGGGTTAAAGGGAAATTAAAGCGCTCATTCGACATGAGTGTTATTATGATCATGGCAAGTTTGAAGGTTCAGCCGTCATTATCTTCACACACGTGCCATGCAACGTAATTTTACGTTGATATAATAGGTATACCTACTACGGTGCACGCTTTATCACTGTCTTGTTGACATATAAGTTTGTTATTCAATATTCTGTGGTCTTAGGAAATAATATATGCATTTAATGTTCGATATAGTCATTCAGTTTTCGTCAATGATACGAACCCATAGTTCATACGTCCGGCTTGCACTTGGCCGTTTTTTTAACTACTTTAGTAATTTAATTTACGTGTTGTCTATTTTGTTCGCGAAAATAAGAGAAAAGCCATTACACACAAGCGAAATAGAATTTAGGTCGGCCGCTGAATGTCGCAACATCAGCTGATGGGACGTAGACGGTGTAATCTGGGGCACGCGACTCGACGCACGAGCTTTAAGCTTTCAATCTTTTACTCCGCGTTTAGGGGCCGCCAGTCACACTGTTGTGTAATAATAAGAAACTCGTAAAACTTCAATTTAATAATTAGTTTAAGATAAATATTGTGTAAAAATCGGTTGACTCATTAATAAAATTAGTGAAGACGACAAAAAGGTCTAAAATTATACACGTTAGTGTATACGTAGGACTATATATCTAATATCTAATTGGACTATATATACACAAAGGTGTGTATGTAGTATTAGATAGTTTATTACTCTTCTTGTCGTGCATGGGAGTTTAAATAAAACAATTACAATGGTTTAACATGAATAATTTTCTAACTAATATATATCGCGTTTTAAACCTTTAAAAGCGTTTTATTTAAATATGTACTACTTGTGTAAAGTACATACAATACTTATGTAAGTGTGTTGAAAATCACATTATTAGGTCAACTGTATTTTGACAAAATGTTGGGTCAAGAACAAACATTGACTGGTTATGATTGCAAAAAACCGTATTATGTTGTCAGTATTCATATAAATTTGATGGATTGCATTATTTATAATTCAAGGCGATCACGATTGTATTAAAAAAATAAAGTCAGGAGAAAACATATGCGACGTAAGGTCTAACGATACACGATCGAAAACACTATTCGAATTGAAAACCAGAATATTACACTTCGGTGGACTATGAAGGACACATAGAAATTCTAATCTGAAATTACGTGGAAGTCGTAAACACAGTGTTGGCGCCACAATTCGTGATTTATAGCTTTTATTGATAGACCTGCGCTTGCCATGAATGCTGAAAACAATGACTCCAAAGTAGACGAAAACAGTCAACTACAAAAATAATAATGCGGTGTTTTAATGGTTAAAAAAGCGAAATATGTTAGTTAATTTACGTTAGACTACAACTGGACTTAACTTCCCAAACATTATGTAAGTGTTTATATGTATAATACTTGAGTCAACAATAATAGACGTATGTTATGTTCATACATAAGTCATCCTCAGTAAATTTGATGACGATTTACAATTTATTCTGCTTATTTTTTGCATCCACATTCTCACATTTAAATTAAACACTTTAACGGTTTAAAACGCGATATACATATTAGTTAAACTTATTTGAAAATGATTTTTAACTTCGGCCCGACGTTTCGTTTTATATAAATGTGTACTACTCGCGTAAACTATAGACAGTATTTTATTACATTCTCACATTTTGGAAGAACACAGTTCATAAGATAGTAATAGTAGATATTTTTCTTTCTTTAACTTAGTATTTTTCTCCATTTTGAGATCGAAAAGAACAATTTCGTTACATAGCTTATGTTTAAGATCAATAAGTTTCCGAGGTTCTAATTATACCAACTATAGCTAGGTTTCCTTGAAAAATGTAATAATCGATAGACAAAGTGGTACATACCGTATCTGTATCACTTTCTTCTGCTGCTATATTAGCACCCTTGTTTAAAAGGAACTCAGCGTCAGTCATCTCTTTTTCTATAACAGCTGCCTCCGACTCGAGTGGGGGAGAGATCTGCAACTCCTCCAAATTTGCTTTCGCGGCTTCGGTCGGTGATATTTGTGATGGAATTCGAACTATAAGCGGTCGGAAATGAAACCGTGCCGTGCCTGAAAACAACTAAATGCCATAAATAATTACCAAAATAACACGATACAACAAAGAACACATTTCTAACCAAACATTCATTGCGATATTTTTTTAGGCTTAACCATATATAATTAATAGCACAATGAAACTTACTTCTTTGGCTTTTTGGGAATAGGAGTGGGCGTGGGGTGGGAGTGGGAGTGGGGTGGGATTGGGATTGGAAGTGGGAGCGGGAGTGGGAGTTAAAGTAGGAGTAAAAAGTGGCACTTACAACATAGATTGGCTGCGATACATGCGCAATTACATAAATTAATAAATAGCTCAATAATTAAAAATTCTACCCCAAGTCACTATACCACGCGGACGAAGTCGCGGTTACAGCTAGTATGTTATATAATATACCAATCTTTTAAAGTAATAATAACTTGACTAAAGACGTTAAAACGTTACAGGCAAAAGATTGTCTTATTTCCATAGCCTGGCTAGATATAGCTCTATATGTCTAGTCAAAACCCTTGGCACTTGGAAATTATATATTCGTACATTTGCTCTCTATACATAAACATGTAATAGTGTTATTATTCTGACCTTTTCCTCTCTCTTTCGGGGCGTTCCTTGTCATATGTGAAGTTCCGTGTGCATGTTTGTGATGGATTGGTTGAATTCTAACCTTCTGAAGCCCGCTGCCCGGCAAAAGTGTTGTAATCACTCTCTTTGGCACACTTGAAGAACCCCTTTCAAACTGTCGAAATGTCTCTTCAATATCAGCGTCGATGTCCAAAAGGCTATCGTCCAGTTGCTCAAACCCTTCGTTATCTGAATCAATTTCACTCTTTGAACCATAAAACTTCTGCTGCTCCATTTGTTGTATTTCTTCTGGGCTTATCTGTGGATCGGAGTTCTGTCCGGGCGATGAAAAGCTTCGGATGACATATTTATTTTGAGGACTCTGCTCACTTTCAGACGCCGGAGTGGAATAACTACGTGGTAAGTTACTTTTCGAGCCGTACATTCTCCGCTGCTGCAGATTTGCTCTCGTTGCGATCAAGCTTCTACTTCCAGGGCTTTGCGATGCCTGATGATGATGTCTTCGTTGCATCTCTCATCACTGTGCGTCCGTTGCACCGAGAACCACGTGGTCATCTGAGAATGGTAATTAATGTTCACCTACTTGTAACTTCACGTCGTGTGTCCACTTCTAGATCTGGTTACAGTATCGAATAACAAGGACGGGAGTGGCAAGATAAATTACATGATAAGCAACGCTGAGCACATCTCAGTCACGGATCTTGCACCATCACTGTGAGTTTAACTGCTGGAGGCACTGTTTGCTCCAATGTACGAATTCGATTTAAATATGTAAATCTTTGCATGAAGGTGAACACGTGAGTTGTAAAGCTTACAAGTGAATGCAATGTCAGAACTCCGAACGTAGTTACTACGGTTGAAGAAGCGTAGGCTTAAGCTCTGTAGGTAGACAACTTTCTCTTTAGCGGTGCTTGCTTACCATTATTCAAGTACGAAGGTGTATAAACAAACGCCAGTAAATTCAGTTTAACCATATAATAATTATCCTTTTTTCAATAAATTAATTAAGGTTCATAACATGTATTATGATAAAATAAAAAATCTAGTTGCATCTTCTGTTTTCTAAGTTTTTAATCATTAATTTATACTTTATAGTAATATTTTGAGGGTAAGTATTGCAGATGTAAAGAGTAGTGAAACGTAGTGTTTGTAATTGTGTAAGAATTTTTCCGTTTTATTGATTAATCGATAAATCTACATATACATCGAACAAATACGATTTCAAGATTTATAAAAGAAAATAATCGAGTTGTTCACAAACGATTGCAAACTTTATAATATTGCCTGATCGAGTAATGTTAATTGTCAAACGTATCACTCTAAAATCGACAAATCGAATATGTCAATTGTCAGGTTGTTAAAATAAAGTTTAAAAAAAAACCTAAATAGAAAATAAGATAAGATAGAAGATTTTGTTTGATAATAAAATTGAGATACTTTTAGGTTATTTTAGTTTGATTAGAACATAAATATTTTCTGTATTTTACATATAAACACTGAATTTGTGCACGTACGCGGCTTTTAAAATTTTATAGTAACCTCAAAGAACGTGCCGGTAATAAAATGTCCGATTGTTTTGTAGATTATTACAAAATCTTGGATTGTGAGAGAACATCTAACTACGATGAACTCAAAAAGAATTACCAGCGGCTCGCATTATTGTTTCACCCCGATAAAAAGGACAGCAGTGCAGGTGACGAAAAGTTTCTATTGATACAAAAAGCATGGTCGGTGCTAAGAGATCCTGAAAGTCGTAAGCAATACGACGCTTTACTAGTCTGTCATGAACACTCAAACCTTTTATTGTATGAGACAATTCCACTGTCTGATATGACTTTTGATATTGCTGATGGTGCTTATACATACCCGTGTAGATGTAGCGGCATATATTTATTGGAAACATGTGATGCTATTCCACCTACTGTTGTGGTAGGTTGTAATGAGTGTTCATTTTCTATACAAGTGAATATTCCTTGTTGATTGATACACATTGTCATTTTGGAATTGGATTGAGCTACAGGTGTTGAACTTGAAGGAATTTGAGAAGCAAGTAATTTGAAGGAATTTGGGACATGGATACTTCACCAGTATTGATTTTATCAATGCTTTTATGTATTAAAAAACATATCTCTATTTTATAAAAAAATATTTGTAGATTACACTAGATAACATTAGAAACAATTTATATATGTATTTATATAAAAATATGTATTGGTATTGTATGTATAAATTATCAATAATTGTTGATTGTAGTAATTAGAAAATGTAACAATGAATGTATTTCACTTTTATTGAATCTATAAAAAAATAGTTTTCGCAGTAAAGGTTCGGTGAGATCTGTATTCCTAGTCTTGTACCTGTGTTGTAATTTATAGTAACTGATGCAGTTTTAAATTAAAAATCAATTTGAATAAAGATGTATATTTATTTATATCCTGTTGCATCTACATAACAATTTTTAAAACAAATCAACAAGTGTCAGTAGCCTCGCACCTATGGCAAATTATTGGTTTTGTGCATTTTAACAAAGTTAGCAAAAATAATTAGTTTATTTAAAGCAATTTTGTATGGCAAAATTTGAACTGTATAAAAATTGCCTACCAATCTTATTTTAAACTTTGTACTGTAGCATGTTTTGAGAAATTTAGTTTTCTTGTTAAATTTTATTCCTTAACTAAGCAAAACAATATTTTAAAAAGAATATAGTCATTTGCTATGCTAAAACGTATAGCAAATGGTTACTTAAGTTTGAAGCTAATCTACAGAAAACGTTTCATGAGATTACAAAAGATGATAATAACTTAAAATTTAACAGCATTTTATACTAAGACTGTGGGCTCGGACATTAACAGAGTCCCTATGTCTATTATTGGTTCTCTAATCAGCAGTTTCTGGACCCAGGCAAATAATTAGACTAACTTCTTTCATCAGTATCAATTGATTGTATATGTTGAAAATTTGATGGTCCTCTGTTGATAGAGCATGGTGTCTGACTGTGACCAGGTCCACGAAGTGATCCTTCTAATCTTGTCACTAAGTTAGATTTTCCTCGTAGAAAGCTAGAAGTGAAAACAATTATTAAAACAAGTTCTTATAATATTATTTTGGCAAAGGTAAAATAGTATTTACTAACCTTTCCAGCTTTTCAACACACGCGTCCTGGTAATCATGTATCCAACGGACGCCGTTGAAATGACAAACCGCTCTCATGTCTTCGGGCAGTTCCTCCGGTTCGGGCCACTCGAAGTTGTCGATAATTGGTACGATGTTGCACTGAGATTGCAACGCGGCCACAATTTCCTGAAAGGTTTGTGATTTTAATACAAACATTTTTTAAATACTTATCATGAATGTATTATGAAATTCTAAATAACTTACCCGATGTAGCCAATCTTTTTGTTCTGTGTCATGCTTGCATTTTTCTAAGGCGTTCGGAGTAAGAACTAACAAAAAGTGTTTCGCTTGACGTATACTTTGCAATAAATTCTCAAACTTTCCGGCCTCAAGTCTTTCTACGTCTATGAAAATCGTAAATCCTCGTAGATTTAAATGAACTTTGAGTAAACTCGCTAACTGTGAGCCATTCGATCTTCGATAGCTTATAAAAACGTCCAAATTCTTCACCATATTATCTTCTTCAATACTAGGCAAACGGCTTTCGTAATCTGTAATAATAGTTTTCGTTCTTTAGATTAAATAGGAAAGCATATATTCTCAAACGAAGCCCCATTCACTAAGCCGTTCTCATTTAAAATTCCATTCAAAGCTCAAAGAAAATTATTCAATCCTAAAAAGCGATTCGTCCAACACCATAGGCCTTAGGAATTTATATAGTAGCGAGTATTACCTCTAATCGCATTAAGTATTCTTAACCTATGAATACTGTTCTTTATGTAACATTCATTTTCTAGTTGTTCATCGCTCAATCCAAAAATAGATTCTTTGTCAACACCAGCATTCAACATTGAATAAGTGTATATAGTATATTCTGGGCCAATGTTTTGCAAGAACTCATGAAGGCTGCAAGTGTCTCTTAGGCTATAATCTGCCATTTTCTTTAACTGTTGTAACTCTCTTGCGAATCTAAAACGAATATCTTGTATGATTACCGAGAAGAGTGGACAACCTATATTAAGTTTTTTTTATTTATTACAATTGAAACTAATTAATTTATAAGAACAATTTCTAAAATTAAACCGTAGCTTACCGTTTTCGTTTAATTCCGTTATCTAAGCCGATGTCGTCCCTAAGGTTCTCTTCTGTTATTTGTAGCAATAGATCGCCGTCAACTCTGCTCTCGTAGAAATCATTTGCGTAGTCAGCGAATCCAATCTGTTTTACCCACTCTCGTACATCTTCGATTGACCAAAGAGGCACCTGCTGAGACAGCTTGTGCGGTACTTCTTCCCCGATCAATCTGAGCGCTTGCGCAGCGTACTTTGACGCCACCGCATTGGGGCAGCTTGCAACTTTTTTGAGAGGTTCGATTGCGCCTATTTCTTTGAAAATTTCTGTGTTACATTGCTGCTTCTTGATTCCCGCCTCCATGCAGAAATGGAAAGCGGCCAGGTTTCTCGCCTCCTCTCTCTTTGAACTCAAAACAGGCACCAACTTTTGCAGCCAATGTTTACTTTGACCATGAGCATGAGAAAGATTCGATCTAGCAAAGTCCGATGGATTATGCGACGTCACAAAGGGCTCCACTAGATCCAATGTGCCCGATTTTAATACGGCTGCTTCGATTTCTTTATTAGCAACAAGTACAGCTATAGCTAAACAAGCGTAGTACTTTATGTTGTCGTCGTGGTGGAACGCTAAAGGAAACAGCCACATGGGCACTTTACGTTTGATCATGGCTTCTTGATTTTCAGCACCACCGTATAGCGATAGATTTGCGAGGGCTGTCGCACAGTGGCGCAATGTTTCGACATCATTCTTTCGACATTCGAATAGAACTGCATCCAATCCTCCTAATTTTATAACATCGCCACAAGTTCCTTCGCTGTGTTTAAATAAATGTTCCAATATCCCAGTTCCAACCCGACAGTAATCCACTAAGTTAGCATTCTTTGTGCACACGCACGCAACATTTACAACCTTTTCTAAGCCATTCTTTACAACATATTCTCTGTTTTCTGTTGTGAGACATTGTTCCAGAATTTTCGCCGATGAAAATTGTATCTCTGGATTTTTAGACTCCATACAATTATCCATTAGAACATCGAGGCCACCAGAAGTTCTTAACGTATTACAGAGACAATTTCCTAGTTCGTGGCCGTATGTAGGCACAGCCCACGCTTTTCTCAGCATCTCATTTATTTTATTAAAGTACAACGATGCTTTGTTATTGTCCATTTGTTCATTTTTAATAGCCGCTATAAAACTATTCATTCTGTTGGAGTACTTGTGAATGGCCGCCTCGATATCCTTTATGCTTGAATGATGATTTAATTCACCTAAATCATCGAGGTTTAAGTTCGCTAAATCGTCGTTATTTAGTTTACTCGGCCCGTTTAGAATATCGTCTATCTGGAATGTAAACAACGATAACATAGAACTATTATATATCGTAATCGCATATTAAATAAAGGCCAAACATTTATTTACCTACCTGAGAGGAGAACAAAGATGATTTGGAAGAAATATTCTTGCTAGATAACGTCATGTTTGAGTGAGCTACACTCGAGTGTTCCTTATGGCTAAACATTCCACTGGAGCTAACCGTCTGTCGGGCTTGCGATGTGGCTGTACCCGTCCTTTCCGCACTGAAGGCGTCGGTATGCAGGCGGGAACTACAAGACGAGATATTATTCGCTTCTTGAGCGTTCATGTCGGCCGTCTGCAGCGTTCGTCTTTCCTGGAATTGAATGGGAGCCGAATGATTTCTTTGCACTTTAACTTAAACGAACAAGTTACGAAAATCTTTACAGGTATAATAATACGCAAATTGGGCCTCGCGCGCCGCTTTGAATACATTTTCACTCGAAACTGTTTCTTTAAGGAATTCGATTATTTGCATCAAAAGATACCGCGCGTCATGGCTCGTATTATGTACTGACTAATAACTAGGTATGTTCTATTGGATATAGGCCAATCGCGCGGGGATATGAAGATATTTTAAAGATTGTGTATACAAGCTTCTATTATAGAAGGCCGATCAGCACTTAGATTTCTCGTAGGCGTGAAAATTGAGTGGGTTCTTCAACGCGAAAGACAAAATACTAGAAGTTTATAAAATCGATCTGGCTTCTACTCGGCAACCGTTAGATCCGAAATCAACGCACATTCAAGTAATTGCAGGAATAATATTGATATTCTCACCGAGCCGGGCGATCCTCCTCTGCGGAGAATTCGAGTCGTCCAATTAATTATTTTTGCAGCCATTGCGCTACTATTGCATTCCTAACGTCACGTGGTCGAGTGATGTCATAATGGAATTATAGTGTGATAGTGTCTGGGAGCCGAGGTGGACTGAGGGTTCGCGGCGCATTGCTGAGACGTCACTTTGGGACGCTATTGATCGGCCTTAGGCACGCGAGGTCGTGTCCTTTACCGTTCGGGTCAAGTTTTCAAGGAATACCATACATTCATCACGTATACAATGCCATGAAATCTGAGTGTAAATGGAGGGATGGTTGTATGCTCGTTTTATACTATAAATGTAAAACAACCGCGATCCCTGGCTTATTATATTATAATTATTCTTACGTACTTATCGTGTATCGCAAACTACCTTTTTAATTATTTAATTCTTATTACATAAGACAGTCCAATCGATTGCTATAGATCGACATCGCGTTTTTTTTCTATGTCTTATATCGGTCTGATACACAAAAAACCTGGCAAAATAATACCTACTCGTTGATAAGCTGCGTTCTGTTCAGCGGTGAGGCTTTCCGCTTGTAAGAGTCTTTTGGTCGCTCCGACAGCACTGTTTTCTGCATAAACCGTGTCCCCATGTTGTAACTGCCTCGAGCTGCTGCTGTTCGCCGCTGACCGAGATGCACTGAATGCGTCTGTCACCACATTTGTTGAGCTTGCAGAACTCGTATGCGCCGCGCTGTACTTTATGTCACCAGATACACTGCTTCCGTTTAGGTATGGCTTATTCTGCAGCTTATAGGGTTCTCGGAATATTTTGTTATCGCTTAAATTGTTTATCCTATAGTCGTACTTGTCTAGGTCTCTGTAATCTTTCGTTTTGGCAGAATCTAAAATGTCCTCCGTAGATTTTTTAAACCTGGAAAGTTTTTAAATTGCGATAATATGTTATAATTTACATATTATGTAAATGAAACAGTTTTAACGAATTAAAACGCCAACATAGTTAGCGCCACCTGTTTCGTCGGAACTCTAACAGACGGTACTCAATAGGATTCAACGGCATTATTTATGATTTTTTACAGTTTCTTAATCTGGTTGTATTATTAGAATATACGTTACAGCTATATTCTAATAACTAGATAATATAAAAAAAAAAAACAGATATAGACTATACCTTTGTCCGAATTGCAAGTTATTTGTACAACTCAAGTGCTTCATTTCTGAGATGGAACTTTTTAACTCCGTCAGATGTGACTTCAGAGAACTGGCACGCTCTGAAGAACTTTGCAGCCGTTGGCTCGTCGTGGTGTTCGCGATGTTTGATAATGGCTGGAAGGAAAAGATATTCCTTCGATAATTTTTGAGATAATATAGCCGTTACTCCGGCTCTAAAAATATGATAAACAAACATTATAGGCTCCTAAAATATTACTTGTTGTTATAATGTTGTAATAGTAGTATAGTGTAATTTTCAACTAAAATTAAGACAAAAATATATTCACAAATTACAGCTAATTATGTCGAAGAAAAACTATTTTTAAAGTCTCAATAGCTCACCGGGTCTTTAAGATGACTAGATGAGTTCATAGTATTATTACTTCGAAAATTGTAGTTATTGTTCTTTGGTGAATCCGCAGTACATTCCTTGGTTTCGTCCTTCATAGTGTTATTTGTGTTGGTGTTGCCAGGAGGGACCTACAAATACAAATAATAAAATATTTTCTACATTTTAGAAGGTATGTTTTTCGAAAATTTTCTTATACCAAACTAACAAATTATTATTATTGTTTTTGTATAAAGTTTTGTTCCGTTTAATTCTAAATAAAGGGTTGTTGTAAAGCACTTGACACGTCGGGTCGTAGTTTTATCTATTTCAAGATATTGTGTAACTATACACAATGTCTTGAAATAGCTATTGTAACTAAGAAAAATAACTTTCTTTTAACGTCACCTTGTATAAAACCTTTGAAAAAATACAATTGATTTCCTCGGTTCAGTCCTTAGAACTTTTCCTCAGCTAAATACCTAATTTGACTCAACACCGCGATGAGTAATATGTACTCCACGTTTATGCAAATTGCATTGCTTATTTTATCTGGTATCACAATAGGTCAATTCATTAAAAGGTCGCGCGTGACTCATGTACTGGATAATATTATTTTAGTATATAATGTGATTTTCACTTTTCTAAAGTTCGTATAACTTTTTTCTGAGAAAGGAAGATAGACAAGCAAGCGGTTTACTTGATGAGAGATAAAATATCCTCACTTATTTTGCAAATTTGGACATTCGGCACCTCAGGAGTAGACGTTGGTCATCAACCAGGACGGAATTTCAATATTCCTTCCTCCTATTCGGTATTTAAATTTCCAGACAAAGTCTTACATGTTTCAGAATAAATATAAATTGATTCTTGGAATAACACGTATTGCCATAAAATAAAGCAGTCTCATGAGTTTATTCATTAAAAATAGTAAGTTAATTATTACTATTACAATAAACTTTATATTATTTATAAAAGTTAAATGATTATATTACCTCCATATTACATAAATGAAGTTTATTTACTATTGAATGCCAACAAATGACAAAATATCGTACGCATTCCTGTATTTTCAACAAAATTTATCAATATACCCACAGAAGTACGAAAATACACTATCATAGACAATGTTAATCACTATTTATGTTTAACTAAGTTATCTAGATCTAGGTCCTAGATCCATTTGAATACAATAGATCCTTACCTTTTACTACAAAACGTTACTGTGTCCATGGCTATTGCAAAGCCTCCAAAACGTCGGGCGGCAGTTTAATTCAATTAAAAATGAGTGAATTAAAAAAATAAATACTTTTAGCAAGTAACACGTTCAATTTTAATACACAATTTTACATGTAAGCTGAGTTGACAACACCACTATCAGTTATCTTTATCTCCTTGTATGAATATATCTTACAGCATCCATGTTGTATCGAAATTCGAAAGCTAAGATTACGATATCTATTGTTTACACTACACATCTAAACGGTGATACGGTCGCTACTGCCGCGTCAAAGTAACTAAACAAAACCATTCACAAATAGCTATTCTATTTGATTGCCTATTGATAGCCAAGACACGATTTTGCTTACGAAAAGGACAAAGTGTTCTGTATATTTTACATATAAAACAGACATTAAAACACATTGATCTATGATATTGTGAGACTGAGATGTCAGCGATACCGTCCGCGTAGAACAGTTATTTTGGGCATCGAAATTTGTGTTCGCAAACCTCCTTCTCATCCGTATAAATTATATCTGCTATCCACGACGGGACGCGGACGACGTCGTGGGTCTTAAAAGATATGAAGACATTAATAATTGTTCAACTAACTAACTAGTAATTCCCGAGATTAGCGCGTTCAAACTACTTTAGTTTTATATATTAGTTTGAATTTTTATATATTAGGCTTTTTTTGAAAAGTTAATAAAGTATGAAATTACTTCTCCTTATGTTCTAGTATCATTTTTTTATTTTCATATAAGGCTGGCGTTGTGCCTCAGTGACTAAACAACACACACTGCACAACACACACTACGTCGCGATTTTGAGTGTCGCAGGTTAATACCCCAACCATATAACAACTAAACGATATGCGGTGCCACCTATTTTGTCCTTGGATATTTCGAGATCTACAGACTGAAATACTGAAAGGAAAAAGCTTTCATCTACGAAAGGTTGTTTCGTGACCAGACGTAATTTCCCTATTCTTCCGAAGTCTAATATCTTAAAGAAAAATTTTAAATTCATTAGAAAAATTTTGGAGTTTCCAGCTGGGATAGAATCCAAGACCCGTTAATTTTATACGACATACCCGTTAAATTTTTTCGTAATAAGCTTTTCTATTTCCTTCTTTTGGTAAAATTATCTTTTAGTATGGAAATTTTGCTTCGTTTCATGTGGCAGGTGTTTTATGGCTGTGTTGATCTCATTTTCGTAGTTTAAAGCCTCATGATTCACCGCACGAGCACGTGGGCTCTTATCATAATGGATAATACCGCGAGCCACTTGGAGTCGACTGGTGACTCAACATCCTATATCATCCGCGCTTTTTATTAAGGAAAAACTAGTTAGAATTCTTTGAAGGTTTTGCTTTGGAAACATGAAATAAGTGGAATATATTCTTGACTGGCTCCCAAGTGCATGCCCATACCGAGGAGGTCAGTGCACCATGTTGTACGTAAAGATTTATAGCGTAATAGTCGAGTAGATATTTCACTTGTTACATAATGACAGGTCATAATTTAAAAAAAAATCTGTTAAAACCGATAATAGGGCTTGTTAATTACATATAGTGTCTAACTTGAACGTTGTCCCAAACATTTCCAAATAAACGTAGTGGTTACCAAATCGTAAATAGTGTATATTCGTATTAATTAAATCGATTTTAAATTTAAAAAAATTAAACTACTCGGCCAGGACTTGAACCAGCATCTACAGTGTGCTCCACCAATTGAGACACGTCATCGTCGATCTTTCCATAATTGATACATGTACAAATAAAAGAGATAATGCGAATAATTATCTCAAAATCGTTAAGCAAGCTTACAAGCTCAACTTTATATAGATACAGACCTAGTTGTATACATAGGGTTCGGAAATGATCGAGGCGAATTTCGTGTATACACCAAAGTAAGGAAATTTGACATTATAAGGCTTATTATAATTGTATAAAATAAAAGATCGCCTAGACCCTAGATCCGAAAAACAGTATAGGTATATTTACTTGCGTCTCACCTTCTTCGGAGGGAAACTTCGCGGTCTTCCAGTGTACGATGTATATACGTATGAAGACATATCAGTTTTCGGTATCATTATTACGGAAAATAGCTTTTTTAAACACACACAATAATTAAACACTAGTTTCACATTATATACATGGGAAAACTCTTGTTAGTTTTAATTCACAAATTTGACACCAGTCTATTTTCACATATTTTAAGGCTCTAAAATAAATTAAAAATGTCAATTAGATAAAAAATGAGGTAACACGGCCAAGACCAGGATCCAATCCAAAAACCAACATTTTCGTAATCTTCGAACCATCTAGTGCCTTTGAGGGTACGTGACGTAGAATTTTTCAATTCGAAATAGATTTTTAACTCAATCACTATTCTCGAATTTACTTTGCGAAGTCGAGTACATGTAACACTTATCGCATCAGGTTCCTCACTGACGCGTTTTCCGCCTTATTATCAATGCATTGATACAATCTTATTGCTATCCTCTTCTCACTTTGCAATAGTAAAAACTCGTATGAATAAAACAAAATGCATGGCATGGTTTTCCCAATCTATCTAGTTAAAATCTTGTTAAACAAAGATAGATAGACATCATTGTTGGTATATTTACAAAATAACTATTTTAACAAACAAACAAAACAAAGTTTATTTATTACACAGTAGAATGTGCAACTAAGTTATTGAGAAGATATCTCATTGTAATTTGTGGTCTTCTTATCTCGCAGTCGTAACTTGTCCCTGAGTGTAAGTTAAATTATTAATAGACAACGCAACAGTAAACAATAATAAACGTTTTCGTTATTAACTATAGTGTTTAGATATCATATTTGTTAAAGGCTTTTTAAGCAATGTTTGAAAATGAGTAAGACAATAATTTCATAGGAACTTGTGAATGGAAATAATTCGTGTAATTAAAGAACATATTAATTTTCCTTAAGGAAATATGAAAACGAGATGTGTTAGTATTAAGTAATACTGTTATAGGCCCAACATTTATAGCATTGCTAGAATAAAAATAAATATTCACGTATCTTATTAAAAATTTGGATTCAGCTAGTGTAATTACACAAAGCGTAGCTTAATTATTTATTAAAGTACTATAGTAGCCAAAGCTCACGTGTGTTATGTTGGGGTCATTATGAGAGAAAAAAAGCACTAAACCGTAGACAGTAATGAACACAACACACATGAAGAAAACGGCATTATACTATAAAAAGAATAACTAGCTGTGTCCGCGACTTCGCCCGTGTGGAATGGTTATTCTTTGCATCAACAGCCAGCTTAGTTCACAGCGTAATATTATTTAGCCTTTCCGAACATTAATGGTCTTCCGACCAAAAAAAATTAATTAACAGCAGTCCATAATTTAGCGCGTTTAAAGAAACAAACTCTTCTCCTTTATAATATTAGTATAGATTAGCTAATGTGTTTTGATGGGTACCGACTAAGCCATTAGGTTTCAAAGCACTCAAATCTGATAACAGGTTCGGGAAATATCCTTGAGTCTTAATAAGACATATTAGATCATCACAGAAAAAATGTAATGGATCTTAATGCTTTTATTGATAGTGTACCGAGAAACGAAACGCTCTGTAATGCATTATCTATTTACGATTTCTAAAATAGAACTTACAATAAACGGTTACTACAAAGTAAATAAGTCATAGAACAGAATAAATGCGAAAACAGTCTAACAAATAGAACTTGAGCCCGCTCGAAACTAATTTACACACAAACGCTAGTTGGCCAGTTTGTTTACGGAGTTCCACAGAAGTGTAGTTTTGACAGAGGTCATACGCCACATGAATCTCCATAATTAATCATCGTTATCACAACTTAACGATTCATAACAAACGTGTTGATAACGGACATTGTTCCCCAGCTACATAGTGACCTTGTAAAGATTCTCAAATGTGTTTCCTACCTCGCTTGTTCCATTTGCCAAATCTTGTGACACACTTTTGTCCGATGGCGCCTCTATTTCTACACCATTCGCACAACAGAGATCTTCGTTTTTCTTATCTGTGACGTTCTCTTCTTTTCTTTGCCAGTTATATTCTGCGTCCACATGTGACAACTTCTTATCCGTCTTGGCGCCCATTTCTGCTGTTCTCTCGATAGCTTTAGATTTCTTATTCTTCACTGGTTTTTCATTATTTCTATAACATTGCGCGTTACCCATGTCGATTCGCGGACATTTCGTAATAAATTTCGGCAACGAAAAACCGTCGCGGTCGATCGGTCGTCGCGTCGGCGACTGCGCCGGGTCGCGTAATGGTTACGCTTGCCACTGTATCATTGGGTGTTATGCATTGTATATTTCTGTTTGACGTAGGATACACGCGACATTTAAATGGTTGAAGAACTATAAAAGTCTTCCATACATTTTCAAGGCAATTACAATTATTCAGGTTTTGATAATTTAGTTGGCGCGCTGTCTCATGTTCGAGGCCGCGAAACAGGAAGTTCAGTTCACTGACTCTAATTGTTCTTTTGTAAAATGGTTAATTGTAATTATTAAAGAATATTTCTCCTAACTCCTCTAATCACTTCGTACAGCATATTGCCTAATAAATCCGGCTTCACTGATCAACTTACAGAAAATTCGTTATGTCACCTTTGTTATTTAATACGCGTGCCATCTACACAAAAGTGAAAACATTATCTTTGTCAAGAGTATTCTCTCTACACATGACATCACTTTAGATGCCATTTTAACCGCTAGATAGAGCTGAATTCATAGGAATTATTTCGACTCTGTCGCTAGAGTTCGCTGTGTGTATATTATATGTTGTTATTGTGTGTATATTTTTATTTTTTCATGAAAAATTAATAATAATATATAATAATACTTATTATTATTTAACAGTTACTTAAGCACATATTATATTATGTAGAGTTTGAATTTTATCCTTTGGAAAGAGAAGCTTCAAGATATATTATAATTACACAAATGTGGAAGGCGAATGAAGACAAACACTATAATATAATAACAAAAATCCAACTTCTAATCAAATGTTCGACGTGAAGAAACTGTTTTTTTTTTAAATATTATCCTAAAAAAGCCTCAAACACTTTCGATATACATAAATGCTTTCACAGGTAATAGGTTTGCATTTTTTAATAAAAAAGACGACTCAAATATAATTTAAGTTTGCCTTGTTCTTTATTTCCGATGCGCGTCTTCGTTTCAGTCTGTAAGCATTACTTCTGAATAAATTCTGTGTATTTTCTTTTAATAATATGCCTTCATAACAGAATAGGCAAGCAGTCTGATATAAGCCTTTTACGTGACTAAACAAAGCAGCTCTATCTAACATCATGCAAACCCTACCAAAGCAACTCTTGTACAACAGGTTGTAATGCCAGTTGCGCCCGCGCATCGCACCGTAATACTGTCGCGTTCTGCTAGGTTTACTCGATAGGTAAGTTTTCACTTTTATCCATTATTTTGTTATGTTTATGTATTGGAGCAGCGAAAGGTAATTGGCGTTTTTAAGTTAAATAAGTAGGTAGTAAAGGTTTAAACGTATTTTTTGTTTGTTTAAATTTATTCTTATAGATTCGCTTAAGCTAGCTTCCTTTATTTATATATAATTCCCTTAGCTAAGTTAGGCAAGTCTTCAAATATTTTTATTTATTATTTATTTAATTACATAAATTAAAGTACATACCTGAAATAGAAACACGGTTGAAATGTCGTCTGAATAAAGTTATTTTAACTATTAAACGAATTCTAAATAATTATTGTTCTTGTTTAAAATCTGTTAAAAGGGGTTCATAAGGGGTTGTGATCCTGGCTAGATAAGGGGACGAAATCATAACCAAATCGTCATAAATTATGTCCTTCACTGACGAAACACAAGTATTTACGCAAGCATGTCGTAGAATTACCTGTTCTAAGTAGAAAGCTATATGAGCTATGGTGTTATATGTATGACAAATCCTTAAACATATATATTTTTTACTAAAAACAAAATTAATCTCCTTAAATGATATTGAATTAAAAATAGGAACTGCCCGCTCAATGACGTGTTGTCTAGCTTTGCGAGACGCACTAGAGATCGCGGGTTCAAATTCTGGAGAAATGTTAAATTGTTTCAGTCGGGCAAGGCACAGAAGCTCGGCAGACGCTCCGTGTCCCACAGGGCAACCGGATTTCTCACTTTGGGAAAATCAAGATGTTAGCAACGTTATGTTATTTAAATAAAACACTTTAACGGTTTAAAACGCGATATATTAGTTAACTTTTAACCAACTGTTAACTAATATATCGCGTTTTAAACCGTTAAAGTGTTTTATTTAAATGTGTACTACTCGCGTAAACTATAGACAGTATTTAACGTTATGTTAAGTAAACCGTGCTAATGTATCCAATTTAGTCGATTTTGTTTTGTCATTGGTTTGTGTCCACAAAAATTCAGTTGCGTCGGTACCTCATTATAATCGCATCTTCGAAATAATCACAAGAGCTCACTAATAAACCGCAGACCTCCTTTTCTACGGATTCGCGGATCCTTGCGTCACTAAGCCGCGGTCGGATTATGAAATCGCTAGCACATAGCATTCTCTGAAACCAATCGACTGAATTACCAACACTGGGTGCGAAATGCGAATACGAATGCACCTATCCGATACCGCAATCGGGTTGCGTTGGACTCGGGTTATTTTTGCACTTTACACATCCGTTAAACGAAATACCAACAAGTGTTGGAAACACGCATAATTTACTAGTTGCAAAAATTACATTCATAGACGGGACAAACTAACTTATTCATTCCAATTTTAAAAAGGAGAATATCCTAACCCCGTTTAAATAAGTTCTAGACGTAGTTCTTTAAGAATAATATATAATTTCTCTATTAACCAGGTGACCCAAAATGACATCAGAAGTGAACGAGTGGTACAAGGGGCGGAAGGTCCTGGTCACAGGGGCATCCGGCCTCATGGGTAAAGTCCTAATCGAGAAGCTGCTCTACAGCGTCCCAGACATCGACTGCATTTTCGCCATAGTGAGATCAAAGCGCGGGAAAACGCCAGAATCGCGGATCGAGGAAATGTGGAAATTGCCTGTGAGTTGTCAATTGTCAAGTATTATAAGGATACAGATGACTCAATTTTTAAAGCAATTTCATCCATACCAGGTTGATTTTTGTTGGAGAGGCCAAAAATTAGTAATAATTATCTGTGTCAATTTGTATACAGAGTGCTGTATACATTACTTAAATATGAAAAGATAAGTATTTTTTATGATAGGGGAGGACCGACAAGCATGGTGTTGACTTGATGGAAGGTAAAATAACATATAACATCTAAACACGATGCGCTGCGCTGCGACCTATTTTGGCTTTGGATAGTCGGAATTTTTATCTGACAGATGATATTGTTTTCGACGTTATGGTGGAATCTTTCTTTAAAGAATTTGTTTATTATTTATATTTAGAGCTAGGTTAAATACTGTCTGTAGTTTACGCAAATAGTACACATTTAAATAAAACGCATTAACGGTTTTAATTGGAAACGCGATATGTTTTAGTTATTATTTTTTAGTTTAGTGTAATTTTCAAAGTTATTTAAGAAAAGCTAGGTCGTTAAAGACTTCCATACCCCCTGCTGTTATTTTTGTAAATCTTCGTTTGACTTCACGGTACGTAGAGCCGAGTTATATGCAATAGCTATGTATTACGTGTTATTATATAACTCGATGCCAATTCACGAACATAACTCACTCGATGCTTTCGATCTAGTTTTACGTAGTCGATTTAACTCTACCGATAATTGGTTCTTGTACTTTTTATTATGTGAGTAACGATTACTTACTTTAGTTTAAATAGTTAAACTTTTATTGTTTTAAAGTCGCGATTATAAATTTATAATACACTAGCTGATCCGGAAAACATTGTTTTGTTGTTTACAAGATTTATTTCATAATGTCTATACAATTTTGAACTGAATTTGATTACCGTATAAAAAACGTTCTTGCTTTTTAATCTTAACAGATAAAAGACATATATACTGGATACTTTTCCCCGTTTTTACCACATTTTGCCCTGTTACTTCGATCCTCTTTGTCGTAGTGTGATGTTACATATAGCCTTTAGCTTTCCTCGGCAAATGGTCTATCCAAGAATCAATTTTTCAATTGGAACTTGTGGTTATTGAGTTTAGCGCGTGCAAATAAACGTCCTTCTGTTTTATAATGTCTATGTAATTTTTATTATGCTTGTGTAGGTCGTAGGACAAAGCTTCACTTAATCTTAATTATGCCACTGGCAAACTGGGTCTTGGCCTTCAAAACGAGAAAGACAGTATGACATGCAACATTTTGCTTTGGACATAAAATAATTTTAATTTAATTTATATTTAATAAAATAATTTTTGTTAAATATAAATTGCTGCCTTCGAACAGTAAACTACATAGAAAAAATATTAATTCGCACAAAGTAATACATATTAAATTAAGTTAAATAAAATGATTGATAAATGACTTTAATATTGTATAATTTATTTATATCATAAGATTAAAATTGTCATGTTACAGACTTGAAAACATTTACTTTCAGCATATTTTCCCACAAATAAACGAATAGTCGATTAACTTACTGAGTCAAGTGTACATTCTAATCTCGCGTTGGTTCAAAGTTAATATTTGATCGACTATTCTCGTGCTCTTGAAAAGCACAAGTCATTTCTGAGTTGAGATTTGAACGCTTTCTCTTCGCACAAACTTATTAGTAATTTTTGTGGACGCTAACTTATTATGTCATTGTCATCGATCTTTACATAACCAATCACAACGTTTTGAATGTGTTTTTTTATAAGAATTTTATCCATACTTAATTTTAAAGTTACGAAAAATTAACATTCGATCTTGTTTGCTTATGATTTCAAATACAATCGTTAACTTTCTCACGGTCCATTATATACATCTTATACACATTTTTAATTCATAACTTGTCATCATAACGCAGAAATTTTATTTGTTAATATTACACGTATAATAGTAACTTCTTAACCTTTCAAGCTATTCTCAAGAATTCGGGAAGAAAAGCCTCAGGTCATGAAGAAATTGGTGCCTGTAACTGGCGATATATTGTGCGACAATCTCGGCATTGAGAGCTCGAAGCTGGAACAAATATACAATGAGGTAAGAGTATATTATGGGACCAAGCGAATAAAGACACGCTATGATAAGCTATATGTTTCTTACTTGAAGATCAAAATGTATGACAGTTTAAGGTGAGCGGAAAAAGCGTTGCTTTATTAGCATACTTGTTTACGGCACGCCCTGATATTAGCCGTAAAAAATATTTATATTAGCTAATAATCCGGCATTGTATAAAAATATCTCTTTCATTTAAATTTGACATCATGGCTGCCTTAACAATATAATAACAAAGAACGACTTACCTACTCACACCATATTTTATTTTAATTGCTCCTAGAAAGATCTATCTATTATAGTTCGGATTTATTCTATTAAAAACAGTTATATACGGGCTCATTTACCAAGGAATCCGAATGACGTCAAAACAACTTTCACTATTAGTACTTGACTTAAATGTGCGGTACTGTTTGTTTACTTTCATTACATCACTGATAACCATTTTTGTGTAAACGAGAGTAAAGGCGCGTGTAAAAACTAAACCAGTCGGAATGGCGGTTGTACACTGATCACCAGTTCCTTAGATGATCATTAATTCCAATATTTATAATTGCATAAACATGAAACCCTATAATTAAATTAAATAAGAGTAAAATTAGATTTCAAAAAAACTATCATAATATCACCAATATTAAAAACGGTAATCTCTCATATATAATAAATATCGCTTGCTTCGCTCGCGTGCAATGCTGGTAAAATTGGTAAGTAAAACTTCTAGTGAAAAATCTTTGGTGCTGGGTTTCAGGTATCAATAGTATTCCATTTTGCCGCAACTCTTCGCCTGGAAGCGCCACTGAAAGAAGGTCTCGAGATGAACACGAGGGGTACGCAACGTGTGATCGACGTAGCGAGGAAAATTAAGAACCTGGTTTCCTTCGTTCATCTCTCCACTGCATTCTGTTATCCTGACTACGAGAGGATGGCGGAAAGGGTAAAGTTAATTAATTGCCTCAAATATAGGTATTTTAGTATCAAACATTTGTTAGTGGATAATGTTTAAATCAAATATATCTTTGATAAAGCCGCTTCCTCCATCTTTTCCATTTTTTAAGTGAGAAACTTTTTTTCACGCTTCCTTTCCTTCAAAAAGGCTTTAGTATTTTTATACTCCTAAATTAATACTATCTTAAATACTGTCTATAGTTTACGTGAGTAGTACACATTTAAATAAAACACTTTAACGGTTTAAAACGCGATATATTAGTTAAACTTATTTGAAAATGATTTTTAACTTCGGCCCGACATTTCGGATGCTTTGCAGCAGCCGTGGTCATGGGGAGACTACTATAATTTCTCATTACTAACTTAGATCTAATTTCATAGATTAATAACCATTTTTATCATTTTAAGTCCATTTACTCTTTCGTCACCCAGGTGCATGACCCGCCAGAAAACCCTCACGAAGTACTTCAGGCAGCAACTTGGCTCTCCGATGATCAACTGAACTTGATAGCGCCATCCTTGATGAAGAAGCATCCCAACTCTTACACCTACTCGAAACGTCTTGCTGAGGCACTTGTAAGAGAGTCGTATCCTGATCTACCCGCAGTTGTGGTACGGCCGAGTATAGGTGAGGAATAAAGTTTGTCCTAAAGTTTATTAACACAAGACAAGTGCAATGCAGTACACATTCATAAAATTATTAAATTATAACTTTTTTTACTATACAAAATTTCCACCTTCCCTCCACCTAATGATCTCTATAAAAACATGGTCATAAAAACTTGTACGTATAGGTTTTATGATATTTAGGGCTCGCAGTACACATTAAAACAACGCTCTTTAACAGTTTAATCGGGGGGACTCCCCGTGACCACGGCCTCAGACTATCCGAAACGTCAGGTTGTAGTTAAAATACTTTGTAAATCGAATCGGATCGCCGTTAGTTGTGGGTTCAAGTCGTAGGATTTTTTCAGACTAATAACTTTTCATTTGTTATGTCATAATCGTTTCGGAAGCATCATACAATAGAAAAACTGACAGACAAAATATAATTAAGTCTTTTGTTGTTAGGATTTAATGTATTCTCATAGTTTGAAGTACGTCATAATAACTGCTTGAAGAGTTCAAACGAAAAAACACATAACCTGAGTTCCTATTACCTAGACCTTATGCAAATTATGAGTGAAGTCAATTCTTATGTCTGTATTATTCTTTGGTTAATTGAGCAATTTTTGGTCTTTATTTTTACTTGTTTTGTTGTGCTGTGGATTATTCATTCATATCTAGGATAGAACACATAGCGTTTGCCAAAATGTATTGTTTTTAAAATGCATATAGTTCCTAAAGACAAAAATAGAGATTATTACGAAGACTTTGTTGTCTCTCTTGTTGTCTATAGAACTACAATAGTTAGACGGTTTTAATGTTCACATTTGTATGTTTTGTAATTTACACAATATATATTTTTAATGTCACTATGCCCAAACATACAAAGTTACAGGTACGCACTTGGTAGGATTTTATATGTGAATGATTCCCAGTGGCCCTAGTGTAGGTATGGGGCTAACAATTTTCTCTGTCCGTTCTTCATTGATTTGATTTTAAAACACACTTTGATCAGATTTCTTTGCCCTGCCGATAGAATTACTTTATTGCTTTCCCGGGTTTCGAATCCATTACCATTAAGCCATCGATACGGAATTATTTTGTATAATTACTTACTTAATTGTACAACATAAATTTGTGAAAATTATTACTATTATGCTTCATATGCACTGTTATATAATGGTGACGGACGGACAACATAAATAATTCCTTTGTAACGGCACAGATACGAAACCGTGGTTTTGTATTCGTCTCATCATCTTGTGAATTGATTTCTTCATTTAAAAATTCCAGTGACACCATCGCACAGAGAGCCAATCCCCGGATGGGTGGACAATCTAAACGGCCCCATCGGCCTGATGATTGGCGCCGGAAAGGGCGTGATCCGGTCCATGCACTGCTACGGACACTACCATGCTGAAGTGGTGCCGGTCGACATAGCCATCAATGCTCTTGTTGTAATACCCTACTATCTCAACACACAAGTCGAACGGTAAGTGAATAAAAAAAAATCATAACGAATTTAGTAAGTTATGAAAGACCGCAATTTATAACAGGATTAGAAGACTATCTAAGTTAAGGTATTATGTACCTAAGTAATGGCTTCAAAACTTTTGAAATAATTTACATTTATTGTTTTACTTGGCACAGACTTCAAAGTTATATTACGATGTTTGATTTAACCTAATCAAAATACAAACTTTGTGGTTGAAGTCAGTATTATTGTAGAAAAAATGTTTGAAGTATGAAAAGTCATTATTTGTATCTCCTTTGTACTAAATTAGTCAATAAGTTAATCAGTTTTTTTGTATTCAGAGAATGAGTCCTGTGGTGTTTATAACTAATAAAGTTACAATAAAAATAAATATTAGTTACGATACTTGTTTCTTCTAATGGCATTAGACTGTAAATATTACCCTTTTGGAAAAACAAAGTGAGCATTGCGGTGGACAAAGCCGCCATATAAAACGGCACGGTAAAACGTCAAAACGTGTTGGTAAACCCAGACCAACGTACAAATAAATCCAAAAAAATCATGAAAGATCATTACAGGTGCATTTCAGTACTATTAAAACAGTTTAATCAAATAAATATTAAATATAAGACCAAACTTAAAAACCTTTCCTTAACATTTCAGGTCTCCCGAGATCCCGGTGTTCAACCTCACGACGGGCGACGACAGAAACGACACCTGGAAGGAAGTGCTCGACGTGGGTAAGGCGACGGTTCGAAAGTATCCCTTCGAGGGCCCGCTGTGGTACCCCGACGGGAACATCAGGCATAACAAGCTGATCCACGAGCTGTGCGTCTTCTTCTACCACATTATACCGGCGTACCTCATCGACTTCCTCATGCTGGTATTTGGACAGAAACGATTGTAAGTTAGTTTTCACAGGCTTCTTAATTTGATGGACTCAATGGTTATGGCTATAATATATTGTGGCTAATATTTGACCAGTGGAGGTTCCAATCCCAAGTCTTGTTAAACTTCATCTGGGAAATCTAGACATATAATGAGTGGTAGGACTATAGAAATTTCAAATGACAAAATAGATCAACAGCACATCTTGTTCAGGTGATATATGGCTGGAATATTTCATCTACCAATTAATCTTATCTGTCCTCTTCTATCATAAAAAGAAGGTTTTGTCCTTTAGATTAAAAGCCTACTTTATATTCCGTCTCTTCTGCGCATTTTGATTAAAAGTGCAAGTAATAAGACTTGATACATGCAGTTATTGTATATTAATTATCATAATACCACTATTTAATTATTTATAAAGGAGAATAATATATTTCATGGTTTAGTTATTCCTATCGATAAAAAACCTGAATAAGTCCCTGGCCTCGAACCTTTGATGAGCCTTCTACATATTATAATAATAGTTTAAAAAGCAATTTTCAATTCTAGAATTTTCCTTATTTGATCACATAGATTTTTCTAACAAACTCCATATATATAGAACCATTATGAATTTCACAGTATGGTGCGAATCCAGAACCGAATATCCGTGGGGCTGGAGGTCCTCCAATACTTCACCACGCGCGAATGGTGGTTCGACTCGCACAACTTCAAGAGTCTGCCGAAGGCGTTGAACTCCGCAGACAGCGCCATCTATCCGATGGACGTCACCAAGATCGAGATAGAGCCCTACATCGAGAGCTGCATGATCGGAGGCAAGCTGTACTGCCTTAGGGAGAAGCTCGAAAACCTGCCGAAAGCGAGGCTGCAGAACAACATGTGAGTAACTTCTTATTAAAATCTTTCATAAGTTCGTGTGTACAAAAAATCGGCCAAGTGCGAGTTGGACTAGGGGTACCGGACCGTTGATGTGTCGTGTGTGTGATCTACTGGACTGGAGCACCTCGTCTGTTATATGGGTGCGACTGTTAAATTCGTATTTAATTATAGCTACACGAGAAGTACATCTAGCTATCGCCGGTCCCTGAGATAGCCTGTCGATGGATAGTATACCCTCTGCGTGGGTACGTAGAAACTATAAAAAAATATTCAATTTTCTTAAGTCCAAAAACTGAACTGTTTATTCTTCTTTTATCGTTTTTTAAATACTTAATTTATATCTTACTTTACTGAAACTTCGTTCGTAAAGAGATAAAATGATTGCTTTTTGTGTGAATGTTTAACGTAAGTATTATGTAACAACTTATTTTATATAACAAATGTTCTTATTTAGTTTCTTTTCTTCAAAGTTCAGACTTGATATCTGTAGCGTATTTACTTTGTATATATAATGAAAACATATGATTGTCATATAATAACTGCATATTATCAATCATGACAAAGTTCCTTGATCTTGGGGTTAAGGAAAATCATCATTGGCTTTAAGTACATTTTAAGCAAATAAAGACCTTATGTTGATAGCATTAACGAACAAATTTGAATGAAATGTATCTACTCATGACACCTCTGTTAGTGTGCTTGTGTATATAGCAAGGTTTAAAACTGGCCTGAGCCAAAGAAGTTTCGATTAAAAAAGCAAGGTATATTAGTCTTCAACTTAAAATATTTTTGTAGATATATCTACTATTTTATAAAATAGCAGCCATTAAATAAAGCATTTCCAACGACTAAAAAACGAAATTTATCAGTTTTAGTAGATGTAGAAAAACTGTCATATAAAACATGTTTAACGGTTTAACATGAACATTTTTTGGGTCCCCGTGACTATATTGCTGCAAGTCATATAAAACTGCGAGTCGTAGTTGAAAACAAGTTTACTCAAATAATTCAGAATTATATGAGTAAACTTATCACAAACTTTTATTCAAAAATCACAATACGTCATGTTTAAACAAGAAGTTAAGTTCATTCTAGGATTGATCCTGTTTTGAGTTTTATATATAAAAACCAACCTTTGTTTCTAATGCTTTTAAATATTTAATACATTACTAGTTCCAATAAACTTCAATCATAGCTCGCTATAACTAGACTAATATATAAAACTGAAGAGTTTTGTTTATTTGAACGCGCTAATCTCATGAAGTACGGGTTCGAATTGAAAAATTATTTTGTGTTGGTAAGAGCATTTATCGAGAAACGTTTAGGCTGTGCTATGACTAATAGAAGCGAAGATACAGCGGGAAATGTGAACAAAACGGGGGAAATTATTCACAATATGGGTTACCTAGGCGTACGCGGCAATAACGGTTCAAGATACCAAAAAAATATGTATGAAAGAATGATTCTTTTTTAAATAATCTAAAAAAAAGTCCTCGACGCTATCTCTATATCTTTTAAGATTAACTTGCACGAACGACGGGAAGGGACGCGACCGACGTCGTGGGTAACAGCTTAAGTTTATAAAGATGAAGGGGTTTGCAAAAACGAATTTCAATGCAAAAAATAACTACACTACGCGGACGAAGTCGCTGGCACAGCTAGTGTTATATATAAGTTATAGAATTAATTAAAAAAAATATTTTTCCATATTCTCTAAACAAAACGTTGTGTTTTTTCAGTTTATACGTAGTGGACCTTATGACTTCGGCCTTCTTCTACTTGCTGATCCTCTATTGGCTGGCGCTGTTCTTCGAACCGATCCGGCAGCTTCTGTCCTACGGAGGCCCCTTCGTCAGGCACCTTCCTCTGGTGGGCAAGGCTGTTTTCGGAAAATAAACTCTAACGCCTTAAGTTAAGGTCAAAGGTTATTGAGCTTTAATATTTTTATGTGACGTTTTAGTTTGTTTAATTTGTTTAACTCGTACTCAAATAAAATGGTTGTGCGTTTACAACTTAATTAAAGAATAATAATGATGGACTGTTTAATTTGTTTAGGTTTCATTTTAATCTAAGGTTTTAAAATATCCACTTTTGCTTTACGAAGCTAAGAAGTTATATATATTTGCAGTAATAAATATACATAATAATAGTTTTATCTAAGTCTTTAAGGTTTAGGATTAAGAAAACAGTTACACTTACGTACCTTTTATTTCAGAACAGTCTTTCTGAGTATTACAAAATGTTTTACTTTACACTACGCATAGTACAAATGTTGTAGAGAACTTCTATATTACTAGGTGCTTGTGAGTGTTAATTCTATCCCTTGTTGGTCTCTCCGTACCGCATTTCTATCGCAGATCCGAGTATGGGTATCTCTCGTTCGCAGATGAAGAAGCATTTCTGTTCGCAATTGATGTCGTTTAGCTTGCCGTTGTAGAACATGGAACCGCACGTCTCGTTGTCCCCGCCGTCTGGTTGGTTGTGACCCCATTTGCAATAGCCGAGTGCCTTCACCGGTCGGCCTGGAACCGACGGAGTAAAAAATATATCCAGATTGTTAAAAATGCATCCCCAGGGTAAATTAGCTTCCAAGCTAATTATATTTTTTCTATATATTTATCTAAATATAATTTTAATGTATATTTAGTCATCATGTCAAATATATCCGTTTTCAAATTAAGTGATAGAGTTTGATGTTTTAAAATTTCCACATGTGCCATAAACAAGATCATCATATCCAATATCTTAGTTTTTTAACAGGTAACAAATAAAAAAGCTTTAAATTTCAGAGGACATTTTTAAAGTTTCACGTTTTCAGAGATACCTCTTGATAGGTCGAAGAAATGATAAGCTAGTAATGTGAACCGACATAGAACCAAAGTACTTTGGAAGTAGTCGAATGTATACAAATGCCATGAAAGTTTTAAGTGAATTGATACAAAAATACTGGGCTTATAAAGCTTAAAAGCTCTCTATTTGTAAGCTACATTTTTACCTTTGAAATAAAACACTTTTAACGGTTTAAAACGCGATATATATTAGTTAAGACAGACTAAAGAGACCGTAACCACGGCTGCTGCAAAGCATCCGAAACTTCGGGGCGAAATTAAAAATAATTTTCAAATAAGTTCAACTATTAATATCGCTTTTTAAACCGTTAAAGTGTTTTATTAAAATATGTCCTACTCGCGTAAACTACAGACAGTATTTAAACTTTACCTTTTATCGACCTCCACTGCGAGTTCGTCCTGGTAAATCCCAAGTGCACCGCTCCCCGGAGGTAACTACCCTCCACATCATCTTTTTTGGCGATCCTCGTCAAGTTCACGAAATGATCGGCTTCTAACTGGCTGTCGATGATGGCCAAGTACGACTGCTCCGCGTTGCACACCTGCACCGCCTCCAACCAAGTCTTGGGTGTCGTGTGGAACTTGTAACATCTACCCAAGCCGTCGTAATACTCGTATTCTGCAATGATAGATTTTACTCATTCTTTTGTAATATGAGAGAGAGAGACACACACGCGTGGGGCTTAGATGATAGTTTAGAAGATGAAAAACTCAAGTCATAACATCTCAACAGGATACGCTGCCTATTTTAACTTTGGATAGTCGGAAATCCACACTTAAAATAACACTAACTCCAATGCTCTTTCACCTGAGGATGGTGGTTCGTGACTCGGATGGAATTTCGAAATTCCTGCGATTAATTGAACATCCAGAGTTTCAGACGAAGTCCTACATTTCAGAAATACGAGTTTTTATCATATATGTGTAAGCGTCCTGCTGCGTTTTGGATTGCATACATGGTGATGGGATGAAACACTTACTGGACCGGGGGTATGTATCTAGATCACAGAATCCTATATTGCTGTATTATGTCTTTGTGATACATCATTTTGTAGTTTATAGCATTTTGGCCTTTACAAATGTTACTATTTGTAAATATGATACTCGTAATACGTCATTAATAAGCCTAGTTCATAAATTGTATACATTTTTAATTCAATAGTTAGTAAAAGGTAACATGCGAAAGAGACGACGCCTCAATCGAAAATGCATATTTGTCTCTTTCTAAAACGACGTAGCATAAAGCACTCTTCTCACTTTGGTCCGGCATGTCGCACAAAATGTTCCAGTTGATAGTGGAAGCTCGCTTCTTGCAGAGAAACGGGTTTTTGACGTCGCACTTGTCGTCATTGAGCGTCCCGTCGCGCCGAATCACTACGCACCTTTCGACGCCGCTCTGGTCGTTGGGCTCGCCGACGCCCCAGTTGTCGTACACACTCGATATTGGGTGTCCTGTTGGAAGAGTTGCTATTTTAATTTTTTTGAGTCAAAGGGTCAAGGGTTTCCAGAAATTTTGATATATTTATTATGACATTATCAATGTTTAAACTATAAAAATATCTTTGCTGGAAATCCCGCTCTAACAAGAAAGAGGTGTTGTAAATTTAAAATACATTAAGGCTGTAAAATTTAACTTGGCGATAAAATGAGTTTAGTTGAGTAGACAAGAAACTCATATAAAAAATAAATCAAAATCAAATAAAAGGCATCCAAATTTAGTCTCTATTTTTGGACTGGTGTATCATTCATATGCATTGCCATTCCTACTTTAATCCACAATTAGTTTTGAAAAGAAATACTTATTAAGAGTTAACGAGCTCTTTTCGGAATAAAATAATAATATTTGGGGTAGTCGTGTTTTTTCGTGATACGACGGCCGAATTGCGCCAGCGCGCGCCGTCAGACGTTTTATGTTCACTCGTGCGTGGCGTTTGTGCAAAGTTTTCATTTTGACATATATTTGTCAATTACGTTACGGCGATGTTAAGATTAATCTAACGGTTACGTATTAGACTACTTGAGTTATTATTCGTAATAGTTTTCGCGAGTCTTGTCCGTTTTAAAGAGTTAATATGTTTTCTAAAATCAGTGTACTACATGTTGTGGACGCTCTGAATCTTAACTTCTACATAGAGAGACACGCGATAATAGCGTACGTAGTTCAGGAGATGGTTACTGGACCAGAGGTTAAAGGTTACTTAGAAGTTAGATCGTAATAAGCCATATGTTTTGTTGGTATAAAACTATAATAAAACTCGTAAGTCTTCAGTCTTCGTCAGTCTTAAAAGATATACATATACTAACGCAGACATTATTTTAGGTGAGTTAAAGAGGAATTATCCTGTCATACATATACATTTGCTGTATCTTCAACCGTTTTCACATTGCACGCAACAGACACTCTCAAAGATGAATAATTTCCCCCGGTTGTCCCACATATCCCACTGATCTTTGCTCCTATTGGTGCTCCCCTGAAACAGTTGTTTTTTTTTTTTGGGGGTTTAAAAAATTTTTTTTTTTTTTTGGGGTTTTTTTTTTTTTTTGGGGTTTTTTTTGTTTTTCATCATTGCAACGAGCATCCGAAACGTCGGGCACCGTTTTTAAGTTATAAAAATCATTTAAGTGTTTCCTTTCTTTTCCTTTTGGATTTGGGTTTGGTAAATTTTTTCCCCCCTTTTTTCATAATAAGTAAAGTGATCCGTATGGTTAACTAATATATCGCGTTTTAAACCTCTCGTTAAGAGTGTTTTAGTTTAAATATTTTTTATGCTATTCTGTTTGACCTTTTAAACGAGTTGTAGATGATATTTTTTGTATTTTTTGAATTTATGAATTCATTCAATGTCATATTCGTCTGCTTAAATACGTAAATGATAATAAGTTTGTTTTTCATTTTTCATCCTAACATTAAGTTATGCTATTACGTAGTTAAAATAACTCGGAAATCTTCTGGTTCCATATATATGTGTTAGTGACGTTTGTAATATACACATGTTCAATTCGTAACTGATTGAAACATATGGACTTATTGGAGCAAGAAACGAAAACAATTGTTTGTTTAATAAATTATTTAAGGCTTTCACGCCATCGTTCATCATACCATTGTTTTTCGGGCTGTTCGCCCGACGTGAGCGAGAAGAGGTTCTCGACGTTTCCATCACAGCCCGAAAAACAATGATATGCAGAATTGTTTGTTTAATTCTTAAATTTTTTGTACCTTCGACTGTTATAAAAACGTGGGGCGCATAAGGTGAGGATACCCCGATGTAGATCCAGTAAAAAGTTTGCGTTGCGTTGATATAGTTCCACACGGCCAGTGCCTCTTCCTCATCATCAGGGTAGTAGAGAACTGCACCTTCGGCCTCGCAGGTCTCCTTCGCCTTCTCCCAGGTCTGGTGCACAGTGTGCACTTTGTAAAAACTATCCGTCTCCGGTATGTATTTCGGATAGTCGACGCGGAAGAACTTGTCTTCCTGCTGTCCCGCTTAAGGAGAAGACAAACTTCTATAAACCATGTAGGGTCACGAACGTTTTTGTTTATTTAAAAATAAGTTACTAATTTGCAAGTATTTGCGTTTTTGTTGCATTTCTCAAGAAGCTACGAGTTATTCTTAAAGTGTCATCGTTGGAATGTAACGTATAACATCAATCAAAGAAAAAATCTTGTAATGACATAATCTATATGATCGCGTTAATAATACAAAAAGTACACAATAACCGCCCCTTTTTGTATGTCTGTCTTATGATGGTCATATCGTTCTTACCCAAGTTGCTTTAGTGCACGTATGTGGTAAACATTTAAATATAACAAATGAATCGACAACCTAAAAATTAAGTTAAAAACTTAAAAGTAACTTATAAATATTTCTTTTTTTAAATATATCAATGTTTTCAGTGGTTTTATTACCAGTGCTAAAGTTCAAATGTTAGACTATCAATTCCAATGTTTATAATAATCATGCGATAAATTTATTAAGAACACACATAATTACTTATTTTGCTAGCCAACGTTAGCTCTCAGTTCTTTGTCTCTATAAAAAATATGCTTCCGAGAATATCTGGTCTTAGTAAGTTCAAATACCTATAACATCATCGTATCGGCATACTTACAAGACAATATGTGATTTGCAAGTAAAATTAACAAAACCGAACACTTTGTGGTAAACATATTCACTCGGTCACGACACTACGTCTAACACAGTCAGGTCATCTCACGAGAGTGAGACATACGTAACAGGATATATAGTTTTACATATCTGATATTGTACATATATAAATGGCGAACTTTAAGCGCTGACCGCTTCGAAGACGCGATATCTTATACGTGGCTAGTGGCTTCCTGCGTCAACAGGAAAATCTCTCATATTAATTCTAATATTTCGACGCTTCGTATCATAAAATATTGAAAGTACAAGTTGGCGTCAAGGTTCTTCCCTAGGAGAAGTAATTAATCTTTAATACTCGCTGAACTAGTCTCTGGATCTTTGTCGGGGCACAGAACCGGTTAACATTTTCGCTTTACATGCACACAGCGTACAGTCGTCCACTATAGTTGAGAAAAAGGTGCGCTATGATTAGCATACTATTGGGTATACAACTTCATTCTTTTCATCAATTATTACATTTAATCTTAATATAGACAAGATATATGCTTAACTCTCCAATTACCCTTCTAGGACATTAGACAAAGACAAATTTTAACTTTTTAATTCTATCCGCCTCCCTCGCACACTTCTTCCCTTGGCGGATGTCTATTATGTGTCCAACAGTCAAACTCAAGAAGATCAAAAAATCAAGTCCGTCGGACCCGGTTATCCCCACAAATAGTCGTACAAATCGGCACTGAATCAGCTGTTGGGTTTAAGTTCTTAATACCTTTTTCTTCGCGAACCTGCGCTCGGTAATTTATTCGCAACATTTATTAAAACCCTGCGCAAGAATAAATCTTGGAAATGGTTGGCCTTCGTTCTCGCAGTGTATTACGTTACGAGTTACAAGGACGTAGGTGCATCGACCTTGAAGAAACACTTTGAAACAAAGTATCTAATTACAAACAAGAGATTTCACAATTCATCTACGGAGGGATTTAAATACATATGTTTATTGTTTTTTTCCTCTAATTATTTTTGCTGGCGTCTATAAAAGCTTTTATCATAATTTGAGGACGTCGGGGTTCAAACATTAACACGGCATTGCTTAATTGTATTTTGTAATTTCGCTTAGGCTCATGGGAGAAATAAAAGACATGAATATTTTATATTGAGGTGTAAGTTTATTCGCATAACAATGTTTCATACAAATTTCCTCGTTTTGTACACACCTGTTCATCGTTTGTTTTGTAGATATTATCTTTTATAAAAGTTGTCTCTCTAAAATTTTAATATTCGTCACGTCTGTTCCCTATATCTAACTCTCTTCACCGTCGTGGTTAAATTATAAAACAGGATTCACTAAGGCAGAGCAGCGACGGGAGTAACAAAAGTACCGCGGAATCGGAAGATACGAAACAATATACAAAGTGGGCTCTGATCTCGTAATATCTGCCTTCCACAACATTCGACGTGGCTCGAGTGGGGGGCGAGTGGACACCCCGCAGAGCGGCACTCTATCTCTCTAACGGACATTGCACAAGTCACACTGGTATCGGCGTCTGGCCACGAGGCTGCCAGTCACGATCAATAAGAAAATTCGATACTAAATAACAACTAAATCACTTTAAAATCAATTCAAAATGTACATTATTCATCTTATCCAAGTAAACAAATCTAATCTGCTACAAAAAGTTAGCAAATTTAAATACAAAGATCACCTAGTCCGACTATGTAAAATTAATCGCTTAAGTATAAGGAAACACAATAACGAGAGTGGCTCCGACTCACCTGTGATTCGGTTTATTATGCTTTCCGGTGTACGTCCGTCGCGTCGACGTCATTACAACTAAAACTTGACTGTACAATTAATATTTTATATGTAAATATTTGTACATATTGCACTCCGAAGTAACAAAATTAAGATAGCCGTCGAAACGTCGAACGTAATAATATAAAAGCGAATGGGAAGTTAGTCTCGATCACAATGTTCGCGGCTCGCGTTAAACTACGATTAAAGATAAATACAGAGGTCATTTACAAAAAATATATTCTACCCAAATAATATAAAAATAACAACAGCCATCTGTACTTTATTAGATGAATAAAATTAAACATATGTCAAACATATGACGTTAGAATCTAGGTCTATGTACAAGTCCCGACACGGAGACCGGACGCGCCGCGTGCCTCGGCTCGAATTATGTTACGGCGTCGCACTTAGTAAATCTATTACAATTTCGAAATCGAATAACACGTATCAAATCCGACCGGCCGCGCACCGACGGAGCCCGTCGACTGCGAACGGTGTATAACACTACTTATCGAATGGCAGTTTTCATTGTCGGCGACTCGGATGCGCCCGAGTCATAAGGCATCACGCATTACGCGTTACGCAGCGCTAAGTGAATTCACTCCGACGCTCGCGGCTCGCACGTGAATTACGTTTAAATGGCAGTGTGTGTTCTCGATTCGCCTCTCGGAGGCGCTAAGACGCTCCTTGACGTTTGTGCTTTACATCTACTGTAGCTCCGCCCGACGCTACCAAAATTAAAACACGAGTCGAAAAGGCGTCGGAGGCGGACTAGCGCGGCCCGCGGTGCCGGCTCGATCGTGTCGTGCCGAATCTATACGTATATTAAGAAATGCATTTCCAAAACCTCAGGCACACCTTACATTTACGCTAACGTTACGCGAGTTCGCGAAGACACGACGATGAAGCGTGAACTGTGACGTCACAGCGGTGACGGAGGCTGTGCGTCGTCTGAAAGGACTGAAACATAACGGCCAATGATCCGAGAGCGGGCTCATCCGACGATTAAACGCTTACGGGTACTTGAGATCCACTAATTTAGGTCTATATACTATGATATCCATTCAACAATGTAGGTACACGAGTACAGGTAACGCGAAATAAGGCATTCCGTATGTGATTAAAATGGCAGTTTCGTTATTGCAGGCCACGTCCCTCGTCCGTCTGTTACGGACTATTCCAGCAATTGAAGATCAGCTGCCGTTTCGTGTATGAGGTTTAGTAGGAGTTAGATAAACAAGTTAACAACGCCTAGAACAGCTGCCGTAGAAAATGCACGCGGATCCATAACAGACGAATGAGCATCGGCAAACTGTGTTACTCTTGAAATGGTCTTTAAAGCTTCTCGTCCTACCGAAATGAAAATCTAAACGCAATGACTCGGTGCAGTGTGATCTGTAACGCATCACTCAAGAACATCTTATCTAAGTATTTATGCAGGCGATTCGCTTTTGTTATTTTCTTACTACTCAATCGTCCAATATGAGGAAATAAAAGTGCAGTACAACTTTACTCACATTTGATAACTTGAACGACGTCTCTTATATTATTTCCCTGAATTATTCTTACAAAAATACATTGACAATAGAATTACGTATTTGTCCTTAAGTTATATTTAAGTAACAAAACAAATAAAAATATTTGCATACGTTTTTGAAGAGTCACATTTAGTATTACGTTAATCTTGTATAGTAAAAGTACCAATTACATTGTAACATCCGACTTGAATCACTTTTATTTCCCAAATGTCAGATCGAGTAGAAAGAAAGACCTGAGCAGAAAGCCACACGACAGAGTCTGAACTTACATCCGCCTGCACGAGACATCTCAACACTAACGTAATCACAGCAATAAATTATAATTACTCGTTAAACGGGACACGGCACAGGACAACGGAACATGACGTCGGAACTCAAAATCGACAGGGCACGATAACGCGTGACATAAACTATATATAAACAAACAGTCGTTAATGATCAACAACGCGCGCCGCGTGGGCTGGCAGCGGCTTATTGGTGACTTACTGTAAAATATCGATTTGATATTTGTTAGTCTTCGATAAATCTAAAAGTCCGGTAGCCCACGCGGCGACGGCTTCGCGGAACGTCTCGGCGAACGACTCCAAAATATATAATCGAAAAGGTCAATCGAGCGTTAATTTTGGTAAATAAACACAACTATCAACTTTTTACTTCCAATAGAAACATCTCTTTATATATTACTTTCATCTATAACTCTCGTAGTGCGTACGGTCGCGTCCGAGTGACCGAACTAGAACGGGTCGCGACGCGGCCTAAACGAGGCGCGTCGTTTGGGCCGACGCCGCGCGCCGAACGACACTAAATATATACTCGAAACGTCCAACAGCACATATATTCACTAATCTCGCACGTCGGTCACCGAATACGCGTAAAAATATCGTCCGACAGTGTCCGTGCACTTCACTTAAACTAGCCAGTCTATGAGCGTTCTCTCCTGTGGCTCCCGACCCGCCTTCGCGCCGCCCGGACCTCCGTACACGAACCCCGCCGCCGATCAGAGAAGGCCGCGGGCGCGGGCGGCGGCGATGCGCGCGCGCAAGGGCTAGAGCTCGGCCGACGGCTCGATCAGAGGCGGCGGCTGGGACGTGGACACGTCCGCGACGTCCCAGATCTCCTCAAGGAACGGGGGCAGCTTCCGGTTCTTCAGCTTGAGGGATATGCACATGTTGGAGTTCTGCATGCCCAGGGTGCGCACCTCCGAGAGGATGGAGAGGATCTTGCCGAACAGTACCGAGCAGCGCGGCGCGGCGCTCAGCTGGTTCAGGATGTACATCCGAAGGGTCGTTATGTAGTACCGCTGGATTTCTTCCACTAGGTTGGGTTGTTCTAAACCGGGCCGGTCTGAAATTCGAAGCCATAGTTATTTAATATTGACATATTTTTTACTTATCTACGATTACAAAAACACACGCGCTCTACACGACATCCACATACAGCACGTACGGCTCACCTGAGAATATAATAATAGCTGTCAAGAGCGCGTAGTGCACGTTGTCCAGCGACATGGCGTACATGCAGCGACAGAAGTGCAGCAGATCTTCGATGACGTAGCTCATGCCCGCCTTGCGATAGTTGTCGCGCGTGTACGCCTCGTTGTTCGCAAACAGAATGCTGTCCGACGACGCGTCGTACCGTCTCGCCACTCGCAACATCATCACTTCGCTTGAACATGCCTGGAATCAGGTATTCCTCAAGAAGTAAGCTGGTACGGTCCAGAATAACACTATAAGTACTTTATCAATGAAAAATCGATTATAAATGTAAAACAAATTCGACTCGGGAGTGCCATCATGTCCATGTGAACAATAGGTTTTTAAACACTATAATATTTTTACTTTTGTCATGCCAAATACATCAAAATAAATAGTACTAAAAATACAAATCATAAATTGAAAAAGCATCAAACAATTTATTATCAGCGGGATATATTTATTGGCTGACTCTACCTTCATAAAATGTAAATATCCTAATTAAAAACTCGTTCCTTAGAGGAAAGATTTACCTTATTCATTTTCAGTAAATTTATATTTAACAACTGTTTTAGGACATGAAATAATATTTAGGCTTTGGTTTAAATTAGGAATTCGACTTCGCCCATTTAAAAGGCAACTATCTCGTTTGTTACCCCGGTGCCTTTAAACTAACCGGCTTTGAACATACTCTAGGTAGATAGACGTACCTTCAGCAACGTAATCTGATCAGGCTGTGAGATTTTCCCAAAGCCAGGTAGACCTTTCGCAAACTCCACGATGAGCTGCACTGTCAAGATCGTCATCTCTGTTATCTGGCGGAACGCGACGTCCGTGTCTCCATCGTCGTCCTCGCCCTGCTGCCAAGTCTGAAATAGTTTGAGACTGCGGTGAAGCTGAGCGGAAAACTTTCGTCTCTTCTTTATTTTTAGGCCTAATTCGAACGAAGCAAGTACAATATTTTATATTTACGTATTAACGAATGCCAAATTTTAAAATTATGTGAATTTAGGAGGAACATAAATTACCTGTGTGACTCGTTTGAGGTCTTCCTCCGAGGGCTGTTCGTACCCATCCTGGTACCACACCAGCCTGGCGATGAGGAACTGCTGGTTCGCCGTCAGCGGGGGGATGTTCTTCAACCTGTTCTGTTCCAGGAGTTTCTCAGATAGGAACCGCGGGACCACTTCGTGCTGCAAACATTCCAGCTTCACATAGGAAACGACATATGTTAATAGGGTTGCTTACGAAGCTAAACCTAGGGCTGCGTAAGTAAAGGGCAATCGAAAGTAACTGACTCATAATCTTCACAAAGATAACGCAACCCTTTACTTACCTAGCATTAAGTTCCTATGGTTTGCTTAAGTGGGAATCGAACCCACTCCTCGGTAAGTTACTGTTATATAAAGTGCACCTCAAGTTTTGAAGAGTGAGGCTTCTGATAAGGGAAGTATTTTTGTAAATGACATGAGTGATGTGACGTGTTATTTCCATTAGGCAACAAGTATGCACATACACGACGACATTAAACTATGTAAGCTACTTTTACTATGCGATAATGGACGTGACTATTGGCCGAAGGTGACACTGTGACTCATCAAAGGGCTCGTCTATTTGAGCATACTCACAATCCTCGCAGCGTCGGGCGGTGGGGGGTCGCACTGCATTATGGGCGGCATGTGGTCGTCCACTGTCGTCGTGCTCACTGGTAGTTTGTCCTTCTCCCTCTGCGCTTTCTTCTCCTTCCTCTTCAACGCGCACTGGGGCTCCGGCACGACGCACTCCGGCCTCATGCCGACCGCGAGGCACTTCTTCAATCGACACTCCTGACATTTCCTCCTCATATACATGTCCATTTCGCAGGCGTGACCGAATTTGCATATGTACACGGCGTTCTTGGTGACGCTCCGCCTGAAGAACCCTGGAATTTGGAAAGTGTCCGTAAGAGCGTCTATTATCTGGGAAGGTTGTCTGAAAGGCGATGGTCAACGACAGTTGATAACGACGCAAATAACAAAGTTAATAGATAAGTTTTATGTTGTGCACTGCATCATAACGCGCTCTGTGATCTTTCATTTATATAGTAAAGAAAAACAGAACGATACCATTACGCTAAAATTTCAAATTTCTTTTGTTTCTCTTGATGAAAAGAGCTCGAAATTCATATAAACCAAAAAATATATTTGAAGGTAGTTAAAAGTAATTTATCACACGATGAGTTCTGAAAGTTACGACCGTCGCTCCAATGATTCAGTGAACAGTAGACCGACTACAGACAGCCATTGTGACGTGTCGTCTCGTCTGGACTAAGCGCGTACATCACCGACCAAATAGCACAATGCACCAACCCAACAATGAGAATCATTTTGGTCGCGACTTCGCAAGGTTAGGCGAACAAAGTCAGGGTCGTCTCACCTTTGCATCCTTCGCACGTGAGTGCATTGTAGTGGTACCCAGAGGCTCTGTCGCCGCAGACGAGGCACAGCTCCTCTTGTTGTCGCGGCGCGGGGCCTTTCTTCTGCCTCCGAGCCTCACCGTCCGTACTGCAGCCGTTGATGCTCGACGCCGGCGAGAGCTCTTCGCGCCCTGAAACGAGCGAACATTTAGCATGAATACGTACGCGTTTTAAACGTTAATTGGACAGCCAGGCATATCTTATTTCTTCGCGTCAGTTTTAATGCAACTGCGCAGTAAATGTTTCGGATCGGGTGGCCAGACGCACGAGACTGAAATGGTGAATTGCTCGGTATTTTGACCGACTATTAATTGTTTTGTATAACTGTAGTGTTTATCTACATCGTAAAGGAACACGTTCCTATAATGTTTGTCAGTAATTTCTGTAGGCGACAGCAGTATACGAAATTTTCGGTGGAGTACAACACTTCCTGTCTAAACAAAAGGTGGTTAGAGCGATTGTCCGCATACTAATGACGTGCACACGTTGCTATGTGTTCAATTTTCATCACGCTGGAATCGAATGCACGTTGGGGTGTACCACGTGATTGAAAAAAAGGTATACTTTAAATGCAAGACACGGTTACTTTTGGTTGCCCCGTAGCTATAACAAAACAGCGTCGTGAACGATACGTAGTTAAAAATGTACCTTGTATCAATAAAAATATTTTAATGTTATAGAGTCGTTATGAGCAAACGTTGGAAATATTTGTAGGTTTAAATGTATCAGGACAATTCGAGATCATTTATCCCACAGTTTAATCCTTTCTAATGATTTTTACTGCGCCGGCGCAGGTCGCTGGCCTTTGCGCGTACCTGGGTTGCGCAACCGACCGAAATACTGGTGCCAAAAAACTAGTTCGGTCCCACGTGGCATCGCGTATGAGGCCGCGCTCATGTCGCGGCGCGCTTTACTCGCCTTTCACAAAAATAAACAACTATTCTAAGCGCGGTTATTTTTCGCAAACCGCACTCACATCGGCGCGACACAGACATTGCATCGAAATAAAAACAACTATGTATTTGGCAACGATTCTATAACCGAGTCATAATTTTTGTAGTTTTGTAAAGTGCAAGAAAACTCACGACGACTGATAAACGGTTAACGTTGATTCTGAAGGCGAACCGCCGGTATTTACACAATATTTACTCGTCTGTTAGTTAACAAAACGAGGTCAAGTTAAATTTTATGACGAGGTAAAAAAGTCGATCGAGTTTATAATTACGTAAGGTGGAATAAAAGTAGCTACATTTACACAAATCGTTTTGAGTTTATGAAACGTTGAAATGTTTTTCTCGGAACTTTAATATTGAGGTCGAAGATATCGAGGTGCAGAATAGTACAATAAGTAGTATAATTGAGAAATATGGAGTTCCGCAGATGTGTACTTTATTATTATGAGTATTTCGAGTAAGATTGTCATTACATTAAAAAGGTCTCTTAGGCTTTACAGAAAGACAGTTGACGTAAATGATTTACAGCGCAGGGCAATTCAATTTTACTTTTAATTTCATTACTTTATAATGCATCGCTTTAAGTGGCCAAGTCAGAACTGCATCGCTGTAAAGATAGTTGGCCTTGTCAGCAATCAAGACAATTCAACAGCGATCAATGTTGCTCGTGAAAAAGAAAGCCAATCAAAAGTTGAATGCACGGATGACCGAGTCAGTGTGTTATGTTATTACGTCCCAGCTGTTCAGTCATCGGTGTGCGCCGGCGCATCTAAGGTCTAGTTCGTGCGGCTTCGGAGACGCTCGGCCGTATTCGGCGAGGAGAGGGAGAGCCCAGAGACAAGTGGGGCGCGAGCGTCGACCGGGGGCAGCGTGCGGCCTTGACTCTTGCGTCGCCCCCGCCCCGCGCGGCAGCCCGCTCCTAGCAGCGCTCGCCTTGCCACATTATTTATGATAGCATCGGAGCTCGAAGCTCGCGATTCTCAACTAATAATAACTCGTTTTTCCTCTCACGCGATTCGACTTTTTCATCTTTTAGATCTCATGCCTTTGATGTTCACAATACCTAACATGGTAACCCCGCGCTTTTATTTACTAGTCGACATCTACTTTGAGCTTACAGAACCGGCGCTTTGAGATACTTTATTGACTAAGTAATTAAATTATGTAGACAGTGAAACACACAAGGGAGTTATTACATTTCTACTTTGTTCTCTTCTGTTTTAGATGGAACAGTAATAGTTATAACATACACAATTAATTGTGATTAAAATGCAAATTGGCCTAATTTGCATACTTCACCCATTTTAATAGGCCGGAATTAAAATTGTTATCTAGCAACGAACTTCGGTGCTCAAAATGCATGTTCCTGTTAGTTGACTATTAGGGCCGCGTGATTATTTTTATTGTATTTTTTATGACCTCGTGAGAATACTGCGAGCACTGTGCCCATTAGGTTAATGCGCTCGTGTTAAAAATCGCTTAAGTTCGAAACCGCTACTTTAAAACAATGCGCAGGAGTATAATGAGCTGAAAGACTTTAAAATTAAACTTGATGTGAGGAAATAACGTACTGGCTCTGTGAGCTTAGGTGTCACTCGAGAGATCTGCTACACGTCGTGCAATTGTGAAATTAGCACATCGAAAATGCCGCCAAAGTGCCGTCGATTGAACAATACCTACTCAACTTTCACTGTGACCTGAGAATCGGGCGACGTATTTTGCAGGCGCGCCACGTAATCGCAACTAGCGAGTGAAAGTTGCCCAAACTTAGGTATTGCACAAGCCTCGTGTGCGCGTCATTGAATTTCGGGTGACGCGAAAGTACGTTGCGTTCAATTCTTGTATGTGCTTCTTCATTAGGTGGAAAAGTAGATTTTCGCAGGTTTTCCAATACGAGTGAAGTTCCGAAATCCTCACATCGATCAGCTGTAAATCAATCGATTAATCGCGGAGATAAAAAACACTACATCATAAAAAGTAAACACGTGATGGATGCATAGCTCGGGCGGAGATCGACTTATAATGTTACTTTCTACGATACTTTCTAGCTAGAGATGTGGGCCGGCGTCGGCGCGAGCGCAACTAGAGCGATCGGTTTCTCCACGCGCCGGGAAAATTGGATTGAAATAGAAATCGCACGGAGAAAATCGCCATTTTCACGTCACACGCTAATGTGGAAACTTGGCTCATTATGTTTTCATTCTCTCGATGGATTTTATTGCAAGTGCGATCGATCTTACGCCGAGAAAGAGAACGAACCGCTCTTATATTAGATGTATTTACAAGTTTTCTTAAAACATTTACATTTACATTTTTTAATATTAAGCATTTTTTTATCGTTGATCATGCCTAAAGGTAGCCTTAGATTTTGCGACAAAGTTTGACTTCGATTACCCAGGACCGATTACAGCAGAACCATATGTACCAAAGTTTATTTAAAAACGACAATCGGTGTAAATTTAGAACGAGGAAACGGGAATGCAAGGGCGGCCCTTCCTAGATCTGACGCCCAACACGTGGAAGTGTTTACATCCGCCGACTTATCCGGCCTGAAAGGCATCCGGCCCGATAAACATTTACAAATATAGAGTTTAACTATTCGTTTCTACAATACAAGTTACTCGTATGAATATGAAATATGCCATGTAACATCATAACAAGTCGACCTATTTTTAATCTTTTGAAACGCGATTTTACTTTATGGCTTGTTCAACTGTAGATCGTGGCTCCTACTACCCATTTTATATCCAGATTCTAACATGTTTCATATCCCGGTGGGATCGACCCACCCGTTGATTAGTCGTAAATATCTACCACCACACCAACGAGCCCGTGAGATGGAAGCAACAGGTAGAACGGAAGAATATCATTTACCTATTTCGGACAATCTGCTACTTATGTACCTATATCTGAAGCGGTTTGGTAACTGCTACGTGGTAGAGTCACGAATAGTGTTCAAGCGCTCGCATAGACGTAGAGAGTAAAGTCTATACGGTTGAGCTTAGGTAGGTAGGTACAGCGTTTATCTTGAAGCGGCGTCGTCGGCCGGTCACACGTACGTAAAATAAAGCCATAACGGCGGTATATTGATAGTAATAAACGCCTAAACAGATATGTGAACGTAATGGATACGAGGCTCCCCGTCGCCCACATATTGACAGACGGTGCTTGCGTTAGACCGAGTCTTCTATTCCCACCGCGTTAAATGGTTACTCACGTTTTTTGTCTCTGTCTGCTCCCTCATTTAGGACAGGCGGCACCCACGCCAGTGGGCCTTTTCAAGTAAACACGGACACGTTAAGTAAATAGAAAAGGGAGAGATATAATTAGAATCGATGCCGCATCGCTTCCTAACCGACGCATCTCCGAGGCAGCTGCTGCAGGCCGTTCGGGAACACGGTGTGTAATGTGTTTTACAGTCTCCGGATTAAGAGCAGCGATTTACAAGACGTTCGTAAAAAGAGCACTAAATGTAACTGCAACAATGACGCGAACGGCACGAAGCAGAAAATGATATTTCAAATCTCTGAAAATGTCGTAAGATTTTTTTATGTCAAGCCTTTTCAGCGCCGACTGCGAATTACAGTTTGAAGGCTTTGTATCAGTGAGAAGCAACTGTCGCTACTATTATGCAGTTGAGGCGAGATCTCGGTCTCGCTCGCCCTACGAACCCTTTTTATCATATTTCCACCGATTTATAATTATTCATAACCGCAACGGTTGTTTGTTAACCTCGATCTATGAGGCAGTCAGCGTACGGCTTGTGGCGAAGTGGGTCAAGGCGCGTCGTGTGACGTAAACGTCTTATCGTCGCAGAGCAGTCGTCATAAAGGGCTAATTAAGACCGGCTCACCAATTGGGTCAACGACTCTTTGTTCTCTATCAGATGATACTCATAATTAATAAAGACACTGGGTCGACGGCGCCCTCTTCGACTTTCAACAGTACCACACTTATGATCGTGCCGTACTCGTGTTGTGATGGCACACATTTTTCCTTATGCTGTGCGCTCGAAGCGATACAGTTTTTAGGTCATTAACGCGATATTAAAGGACGCAATTAACCTCAACGAGGAAAACATTTCAGTAAGTAGGTCGGGAACGTGCCGTCTCGGTATTGCGGCTGAAATAACAGCGGAGCGAGGACTTCGAAGCCAAAACAATCGAAAGACCATCCGGGATGATGTGGGGTCGGTGACCGTCTATCGGGCGCGATAAGGCGACTAAAATCATCGGCTGACAAAGAATCTCTTTATTTTCCACGAAGTCGGCACCGACCGGGTCCGCGATTAGATTACGAATATTATGTTTGATTCCTTCGCTTATCGGCGTGACATTGGCCGTTATTTGTCGAAAACACATTTCGATTTATAAGAATCGAGATCGTACGTTTCGAGTGCATGTCAATAAATTAAAACGACGACTAAAAATTTTCCACGCACGCGGGAGTCGCGTGTATCTGTAATGCGAACGTTTTGGGAAAAAGAAGCTGGTTCAATTCATCGAAGAGTTAAAACGGAAGAATTCGAACGAAGCGAAGAGGCCGCACCGGCCGGGCCTCTGCCGCGTGACCGGATCGTTCCGAGCAAAAACCTCAACGACACCACTGTACAAAAACCGAGCCGTGAACCGTGAACGAGCGATCGACAAGTAGATCGAAATTAGCAAGTCATAGATCGAGGATCGCACGATCACGACCGCCTTATGCCGAGATTGTGCAATAGCTGGATCTCGAATGGTGAAGTTGAGGCGTTTACGTGGAGACAGAAATAAGCGACCGATGGCACTCGTGAACTGTGTCATGGGCCCGGCCCACGCGTCTCGGAAGGTCGCCCGACGACTTATTTAATGGTTCGTCAGTGGATACATTCATCAATGCGCGTCGATGGATTTGTACACCTCACAGACCAAAATAGGTACGCAAAACTATAATAATTCCAAAAAGACAAAACGCGACAAAGTGTAGAACGTCGTTATCTACCTAAAAATAATTATCCTAATATGAGTACTAAGTATGTCTAGAACAAACGACGCTCAACTTTGTTTTACAAAACTACCTACATTAGTAAATAGAGAACACCATAGCGTAGCGATAATTGTAGAAACGCAAGATAAAAACAATGTACAGCACTCAAGTTCCAAGTTTTCCATCCAAGTGGTAACTGGTACGGCGTCAGCATTAGTGATGATGTCAGATTGATGGATGAACCGGCGATGACAATGCGGGAACGAACAGATCCCCCTTTGCTTTCATACACTTTTTGTTCAGCGCTGGGGCGTCTCAAGTAACAGTTACGTGTCGTGTCGGCACGATATTAGGATCGTACCAATATGTGCGACCCTATTGCGCTAAATAAGTGGTTTTACGGAAGACTAACCGTTAACGCGATGAAACGATAGCCGTAGTAGTTACCGGGCCGGAGTGGTCGATGCATTTCTAAAATCGATTTGAATTCCTGCGCTGAAAATGGATTTTATTGGCAGCATTCGTTAAACATTGTTAGCACGTTCGCCTTCGCGGTCGTCCGAGTCGGACGTCGACTAGAATTGGATACATCGCTCCGTGCACACGTAAATTCCGGCGAGTGAATTCAATTTCTCTAACACATGCCGCGATGTACATCGCAATGAGCGAAGATCGGTTTCTCACGCGTAGACGCGAGAGCATTCCTCCGGCGCGCTGACCGGTTCCTCGGAGCGGGCTGTTTACGGCCGGACCAGATATAAATAGATATGCAGCAACATCCATCTCTTTCATGTTTTACTTTTTACACCTCTATAAAACAAACAAAGCAGTTGAAACAGTAGGATAAAGAATCCCCTTTTTATTTCTCTCTTTAGCCACGCATTCTGCAGTTTCAATTGAAATTTTGAATCCGAGCTGCTTTTGCAACAACTATGCGAGTTGTTATTTTTCTACAAGCATTCAGCTCGAGCATTGAGCTTTTAAAACTGTAATTAAATAACGCGGTGTATTCATTATAACAGAAAGACTTGTCGTCATTTTGGATATGTATCTTGACGCGTTACGTCAGCGTTACTAAATCACGTTCGCAGCTGACAGCAATAGGATTCAAGATTACATCAAGTCGTTCAATATTGCGCTGTTACATACATTCTATTACACTTTCACTGAAGGTCCGAAGTTGATTCCCCTTTCAATATTCGTAAGAACTTTCGTCGAATCATGGTACTGAAATAAAACTTACCATAATAAATTACAATTGAATTTAAGGCAATCTCTGGTATTTCTCAGAATTCAAACTTTTATCTTAGGCTAAGCGGTGCTTCGATAAAAGATTTTATCTTACAAAACAATAATATCTTATGGTAGAGTCGTTCGCAATTCGAGTCGCAGTCCGACTAAGATGAGCAAATAATGCATCGTTCGCATCAGCCGTTTCTGATCCAGCCAAATTACATCTAGGACACCTTCTAGGAACATCTTCGGGTCGCGTAACCTAACACGTGGTGTCACGTTCATTGACCCCGAGGAATGTGACGCTGATATGGAGTCACTATCACGAACCACGACACGAGATAAAAATTAATGCTGATAACGAATTAGAGAATACGTTTTTTTATGAACGGAAAGCATAAATAAGCGTTCGACACACTTGACGGAAAGTAAAACCTGCAAAAATGCTTGACTTATTTGTTTTGAAAATATTGAAAAACTTTTTAGAAAAATACATAGTTTAATTTCAATAAGCTAGTTTAAATTAGAATGTTTTGTTTGTTTTCTATAGCTATTTTTATTCTCATTGCTTCAATGATTTAATTGTCAAGTTAAGGTGGGTCCTTAAGTCCTGAATTACGTGTATCAGTATCTTAACTTTAGTTTTAATGTCAGATTTCATTTGAAAACCTTATATGTATCGCTTAAATAGTGAGTATTGGTGTTGGACTGAATGGCTACCGGCCATACAGCTCTTCGTCCAGCCTATCTCTAGAATTGGAATAGCGCGGCCTTGCTCAATCTTAGCATTGCTCACCTAGATAAGTTGCATAAACGGCCTCAAACTCGAAGGGGGTCATTGTCGCATTTCGAGCGACGTTCACTCGCAGAGCGTATCCACTCGGGCGCAGGTTGGCTGAATTAAACCGAGTCTCCTTCGGCGTGTCTGTGACCCCGATGTAAATAACCTAAGGCGGTAGTACTATAAACGACTGCGCAGATCGACCATTGACGCTTCATCTATACCGCGTCTATTTCGAGAGAACATCAAACGACGGGGAAGTTAGGGAAACCTTAAAATGGAGCACAGTTTTATGAACAGTCGTATGCCGTAACCGATTTCAAAGTTGCCTTTCGATTTGGGACCTTATTACTTCACCATAGGACTTAGATTCTAACAAAATGTCGTACGCAGCTGCTTACATATTGAAAAGCATAAGTGTAAACAGGCCTCAAGATTAGATCGGTCCCAGTCAAACTTGATGTAGCTTAAATATCGACTTTCTACAAACGCATCTTCTAGGGAAACTAATTATTAATGACCATTAAAGCCACGTAATATTTTAACGTATAGCTATATATTATGCTACGAATTGCATTCGCATACAACATTCCACTAAATCGACATTTAACTGGAAAATTTAAAACGTTTAAGTAGTCGACATGAACGTTATTTTGTAATATAACTACGGTCGGTGAAGTACTGTCGTTATGAGCACTTGTACAAGTTACACAAAATAAGGTGACCTATATGATAAGATTAATAGCTCGACTGCACACAAAGCGCAAGCTATCTATGTGTGCGTAGCGACTCCGTACAATGACACTGTCGACCTTGACTACTGGCTCGGTTGTGCGACGCACACAGCACTACGTGGAATGTATTCGTCAGTATATATTTAAAGATTTGAAAGAGATATTATTCGGTGAAACGCAAGGTACGAGCCGCGGAGGTGTTTTCGAAATGGGCCGCAGAGCATCTCGATTTAGAAGCATCTACACGATACGGCAGTTCAACACACGATAAGGTGAATGCCAGCCCGCCGTGCAGCGATGCACGACCGAGGCCAAATGAACCAAATTATAAAGTGCGCTTTGCATAAACGCTACACAAATGCTGATATTGTGTCTATTCGATTCACTGTTGTATTATCTTAAATTGATTACGAATTTCGCTATTGGCAACCGCTCTGACGTTAAATTATTAATTTCTCATTATGATAGCAAATTTATTATATTCTATTTCACAGACAACTTTTATCAACCGACTTGCGTAGATTCGTTGTAATATTAAGAAACACGATATCATCATTCATAGAAGACGCTTCAGAAACCTAATTGACGTGTAAATATTTTAAACGAATTCTCAATTATTAACAGCGCGTTTTGTTTTGACTGAATATTATTTTTGCCGAAGATTTCTTTCATCTATAATGAATGTTTTTCACGCCTCTTGCTAGGAAATTAATATTGTCTCCTTATTTTAAAGCGCTGTAATAAATAAAAATCACAACGCTTTGTTAATTTTAATATCTTTTTCTTAATAATACTGATTGTAGTTGTAGGAGATAGTGGGGTGACATAATCTTTTGCCGTATATTTTAAGTTAAAAAAACGATTGGTTCTCGAAAGTAAAAAATAAAATAAATTCAGTATCAGTGTAATATTGCAATATAATGAAGTTTACTTTCCTTTTTAAAGGCAATGCCACCCACAGGAAACACATTCCAGGACTGAACACAATATATTCCTTCGCTTAAGACCTCAAGGAGGCACAATAAAGTCTCAGGACATTCGTGTGGGGGCGGGCGGGTAAGAGACCTGACAACTCTATTTAGCTAATATATTTTATTCGGACCGAGAGCACAAATTTCACGACCTCAAAGTAGTTTATTAATTAGAAAAACCGCTGTAATTAGTCGCTATGCGGTCACTAATTTCGCGTCTATAAATGAGCAGGCATTTACGATTACGACATTTTAAGTCTACATGTTTGGCAATATACGAATTACTTATTACAAGCGACGTCCTAATTTGAAGGAGCACGTAATAAGCGATTCGTATGAACCACATATAGGTTATATCTTTGTATATTTGATGTACACCGGGAAGTACGTGAGCTGCCTGCTACGGAGCCAAGTCGGTGTATTTCCTCCTCGATTGTTCTTTCCTAGTGACATAATTCACGGCCCTACCGTACTGTGAGAACGAACGACTAGCAATGAACGAATAGTTAGCTAAAACTTGCAATTAGCGTTCTTCAACATATATTGGTTAAATAAAAACTAGAAAAAAGATTTTAACTTTTAAAACAAGCGACTTTAGAAGACTTAGGCTCACCCATTAACGACCACTAAGCTTTTAGCATACTGGTCCTTTTAAATGAAAAATTACTTATCTCCTATACAAACCAGTTTTATTAGTGAATTAAAAGTATTCAATTAATCAAAACGAGAGAATTTTCCTTTGACGCCACGTTCTTTAAAGTCGAACCCAGCATCGGTAACAGGTTTGCTTCGCCCGGCAATACTCGTGTCTTCCAATTGAAGGACCGGTCAAGGCATCATTGAGCACGATATCCCGAGGCGGAAAGATCGCGAACGCGGTGACAATACGCAGCTAACAAAGTATTTAATCGTCGTATTAGCGAATCCGTTATGAACGCTGGATTCAGACCAATGTTCTCTCGGTTCCGGACCCGGCGTACGATTCTCGAATCTAACAATACTCTCTTTGTGAGCCTCCGATGGCAGATGCTCTCGAAGAGATAAATGAAATCATTAACTCGTGCACGAAATGAAAACTGTTAGTTTTTATTTGGTACAGTACGCAATTAAAGTGTTTTCGACGTATAATCAAAATCTCATTACGAACTGAATCACACGAGTTCGTAAAAAATCCCTAATTCGAATTCAAGACGCGCAACAAGTCGGTGAGCAAATAAGTTTGAACAAATAAGGTGCGGCGAAAACATTGAGATTTTTGCGTCTCGCCGTGATAACATTCAGTTTCATCATTTTGGGAAAATATGGTCGCATTTTGCGGCATCTTTTAATCGCCATTGACTCTATTCCGAGTTGATCCGAGGGTGAAGTCTTTCAGCTTTAAGCTTCAGTGTAGGATTGTTAGTAGAAGATATTGAATCCACGGTGATTTGTATCGAGATAGAGACATCTCGCAGTTACGAAGACTGGCTCGAGGGAGATAATAGAACTAACAAGCGACGCGAAGGCAGCGCGCGCGCAACCGAGCGAAACGGGCGCTCGACCGCACATCCGCCAGAGCCTTCCTAGATCATTTTTAACTATTTTTTATACCGACCTTCTGCTGTCATATCGAGTTTATATGATTTTCCACCATGGGAATATCATTGTGTCACCATAACATATGCCTTTGATCGTTTAATCTAAAGCGAATTACAAATCTGCAATAATTCATCGGCGGATATGTAAAGACAACTGCTTGACTAATTTTGAATGTCGATGAACTTGAGCGGGCAGGTTTTGGCATCGGATATTTGTCTAAAAGACAATGAGAATAACAATGACTTAACTATTTCAGAATTCATTTTCGAGCGATTTCCACGGCCACCACGGTTCAGTCTTTAGCTCGTAACACTATCCATCGATCGATTCGTACGAACGTGTGTTATGCGGACTTAGAAAGGGTCAGAGCTATTAGATTATGCAGTCAAAGGGTTGCAGAATCACGCCGCCGTTTAATAAACCTCGTTCCCTCTACGCTTCAAACGACAGCTGCTCGTGGGTATCGGATTGAGCAGTATTATTCTAACGCTAAAGCTGTTTAAAGTAGATGCTAATCTTACAACAACTTAATCGGCGAATTAAACAAGCTCTGTATCGAATATCATGTGTCGATGGAAATGTTGTTGTTGTTACATAATATGTTTGATTTAAAACAGATGAAGTCATAAGCTATCTCTCGCCACGCGGTCACCGAACCTTATGATTAAGGAATCATCAATCATCGCTCGCGTCCGACGAGAATAGGTATCGCATATCACACTATTGGAATAACATCGGCACATACAATATTAGGAACGTATTTCCATTAGCGCGATGACAGCGGCCGATCGAGGATGACTCACCGCCGCCCTTTAAGTTTCCCCGGCGAATTTAATTTTTCCGGAAATCGAATTTCGCGTCGCCGTTCGATTGGAAATCGGTACGCCGTGTAAATCCATTTTCCAACAACCGGCTAATCGAGGGAAAGGCCTTGGGCGCGGTCGTAACCCTGCACCCTGCCGCTGCGACAAAACCCGAAGCGGCCCATTCGGTGGCCAGAAACAAATAAGTTCCGGCCGATAATATACAAATGTAGACGCGGAGTAATTAGTGTTGCATGATGCTCGGCGTTGCCACTAGTTATAAATGGACGTGTCAAAAAACCGCGGTGACCTTGGCGCCCCCACGCGGACGTGATCATACGTTCACCTCAGGTGGGGCCCGTGGGGCTGGAAAAGTGCCCTACGAGATTTCCAACTGCTTCAAATTAATATTCTGTACGGCTTTCCGCGACCGACGCTAAGACGCTAGGTTCCACTCCATTCGTAGGAGTTAAATACAATTTTAAATAGAAACGAATACGATTGTTACGAACGGAGCTATAATAATTTCGCCCGCATGCTTGTTATCTGTGATACTTTTAATTCTCGTGACTTAAACTTTTATTAATGTAGGTAAGTATTCAGTTGTCGACTAATGCGGGTAACTTAAATTAACTATGAGATAATCCAACATCAGTTAGCATTAAGCCATTATACTTGAATTGTTCCAGCGCTTCATGAATTTGCGTCGAGTAAAAACTACGCGTGGGGGTGGGAACTGTATGGATAATTAATTTAATAGTATTAAAACCGGCTATCTAACGAAACGATCTGTTAACAATCTGAAATTCAGGTATAACCCGTAATTCGTCAACCGGTGGTGAATTAGTAAGGAAAAATTACCGAAATTAAAGTTCAACGACACGTGATAACATAATTATTCCTTCCTTTGATTTACACATTTATTTATTGTAATTAATTCGCGTTGTCTTATTGTCTGTTCTAGACAATCATCGTATTTTTTCACGGTATTTTTCACTATTCATAGTGATTATAATATTAAGCGGGTTTTCGTAATGTATTAAAAGCAACTTTTATTCGCGAACGTACAATAGATCGGAGCCATTAGTGATTAGGCGCTGTTTTAAATTGTGTTTCACTCAATGGAAACATTTTGTACGTCGTTTGTATGTTTATTGAACGAGATCTGAATCATAATGACGCTGTACTAAAATTTCCTAGCTCGTTTACGAAAAATGCGAAGGTCCATTCCACGTAATGTCAAATTAATACGTCTTACGAAATTCATATTCATGGCGTTTCATGATGTATAAGAACTGTTATTACAAATATGAATCTATGATGACCAAATTGGGTAACATACAATATACATATGTCAGTTAGAAATGCAAGTTGAATATACAATGTAATGTCAGTATAAAGAGCCTAACAACTGTTTTCTATGTGCACCAAAATACCATAATAGTGAAGATGAAAAGTTTCTCCGTGGCAAAAAGTTTGGTAATACCAATTAATCAATTTAACTTATATTGAAAATATGGAGTGAGTCTCGAGCAATTACCTTATTTAAAGACAAGACTCGTTATTGAAGCAAAATAAAACTGCGCCTCCTGATGTAGAGCCAGACTGGTCGAATGGCTCGAGATTTTATTTTTGTAGCATTGCCATTATATTCTCATACATAATAAGTATATCTTGGACGTACGAAGCCGGCAAACCGGTCGAACGGCCGACGCCGGCATCGACAAATCTCACTGCATCCATTTTATTCTCCAATGTATCGTCGAGAGCAACAATTATCGTGTCTAATAAGTCAGGCTCTTTTAATTGACTACTTAGGCCGATTATCGCTCTAATTGGGTTACTAGCAATAATTCAGCATTGTTTTTGAGCTGAATCACAAAAAATAACAATATTATTTACTAAAGTCTTATATATTTTGTCGTTTAGTTCGATGAGTGGCATTTTTCTTAAATTTGATGTCTTTTATCTGTAATGCGACACGTGTTAAGGGTATTAATGTTACCAAACGCAATTTTTTCAAGATAAATGGGAATCTATTGGAGGCAAGTGATTCTTTTGAAACTAAATATAGAAAATTCCTCTTTCATGACCAGTCAACAGTCGATGCTAATAGGAGGGAGTGGCCCTCATCCCGCCGCCCGACCTCCCTCCCTCGAGGATTGATGATAGATTAAGCATTGTACTATTCTGGCACCAAACGGAGTTTCTATGGAATTCCCGATTTAAGACGCCTCCCGTCTGCCGCTATTAAGTAATAATGTTTCACCTTGAAATCAAAGCATTCCTTACGAGTCTTTTCATATCATTTCAGTTATATTATTATTGTATTGACATTTGAAAAATAATCTGTCGCCTTCGTTTACTGACTCAAAACAGACGTAGAGCTTCTAGAATGTTCGATAGAGGAACAAAATCATATTAAAAAAAGAAGAATTTTGAATGAAACTTTCTGGGTAGACAATACCTACGTATATTAAATAAAAAGAAAGCATTGAAAAATGTATGGAAGTAAATCATTGTGCTCACTTCAATTAAAGTATCGCAGAGTAGTTACCAAGGTAGGTATACGTTGTTTGTTTTTGTGTCGCGTTTAAGGGATGTTATTTGGATTAATGAATATTAAAACAATGGCGTGTATTACTTTGTAATGAAAACCGGCTTTATCGGATAAGTGTACCAGTATTTGGGTGCTGCCGTATTATCCGTTTCCGGAAAGCCATGGAGGTATTACATTTTCCACGGCAACCTTGAACGTGTCGCGATAAGAATTACTCAGTGTTACAGTGGTGTAGGAACACCAGCCTGCGTTCAGCGGCCGATCAATAGGCAACATTGTTTCTTTTAAGCACATGTACTGTAAGAATACCTTCGAGTATAATTCACCAGAGCTTCTAATAAATAACAGTACCTAATAAGTATTTTAATTTTCTGTTCAATGTTTCAGACGAACAATATCTTTTCTTATTAATTTTTTTTTCATTTATTTATCATATCAACATAACAAATACATTTATTTATATATTGATTGCAATAAAAAACCACTAAGGTTTAAAATATTGTCATCGTGAGTTTACATAACATCTAATTAGCTAAGTTTATTTAATAAATATACAAGATAACTAGCAAGCTACCATCATATACATTCTTTTAAATACCGTGATTTTTCTCAATGCCATTGGTCAAAAAACAAAATAAAAATAACAATAATAATTCACACTATCACACCTTGCCATTCCTTATTGGGCATATGCCATTGGCAGAATCCATTTACAATTTGAAAGCCATTAAATTAAGAAGAAGATACTGTAACTCTTTAACAGTTACATTTTAAATTAATTTCACATATTACCTATTTTTTATTATGGTAATATTTGATAAAGAATCCATTTCTACGATTAGCGAAAGAAAATATTTTCATTAGTTTAGTGGAACCTGGCTTATCTCTTCAATTCATAGTATAGATAGACATACAGAACTCAAGATTAATTGCATACTTACCTCTCAGGTAAGTATGGCCAACGTATTTTTAGATCGATCGCCCACAGACTATGTCATTACTGTGATTAGTCACACAAGCCAACGAACAATCCTCATAGGAAACAATTCGTAATAGGCAATGCCAGATGCAGTGCTAACACTATGATAAAATAAATTGTATTTTTTATCATAGTTTTTGTTTAAATAGTTAACCTCAGATATACACAAATATTAGATAAGCTTTGTTTTATTACAGAAGGAAAATATTCAAGTAAATGTGCTAAATTGGATTTTTTATTCTTATCTATCTGTGTATTTAAGTTATTTCTCTCTTTAACAAAAATGATTATCTAAATTAGTCGAATGAAACGTTAATTAATTTTTATACATTGTACGGACGAATATATAAATGTAGAATTTATGCGTACGCCATAACTTATTTGTTGCTTTAAAAATCCTCTTCCGAACCGCTAGGTTTAGTTTGTTACGCGTATAAACGGTCATATTGTAACGTCGCATTGTTAGTTATAATTCGGGTAAACAAACAGAACTATCAAACGCGTGCGTATTGCATCGGACTGGAGACATCGGCCGGCGCCCGGTCAAGGTATCCGGGCCAAAGGTCGACAGACTCACGGCTACATCTTAACCGCCAAAATTTGACGTAAACGTTATCATCGAATTCTAGAAAGTTCTTTAGTTCTCTACTAACCCGATGAGATAGATTCGTTCTCCGATTTAGGTGTGGTCGGCAACATCGGCAGCGGCATGGACGGCAGCGGCTGCGTCGGCTGCTGTTGCTGCTGCATAGTGCAATGCGTGCCGAGCAGCGATTGAGTAGTGTTATATGTGATTCCATCGTCGTAGCCCCACAGCTCTAGCCCGTACTCGGGCGAGGCCAGCGATTCCGGGGACATCACCATGGCGGCGGATAAACCCAAAGCCGACGACGAGGTGACTTCCGACGAGCTCTCTTCGAGCATACGCAACGGGAATCCTCCGTTGTTAGACCAGCGGCGTCTCATGACTGTTCGAGCGCATCAGTCGCTCCCGAGACCGCGACCTCCGTTCATCCTCCGTTTCCAGCACTTCACTTTTTGTCGCACTGAACCATCCGAACGCAATAAAATCCACTGTGACCGGCGCGTCGATGCCTAAACGAATTTCACACGGACTCGCGAGTTTCGCCTCCGACAAAACAGAAAGTCTACGGCGCAACAATTTTTTGTTCGCACGAGAGACAGGAAAGTCACACAGGTCCGTCTGGTTATGTACGGGCAGAGAAGTCGCCGCGAACGTTAAATACAAATAAAAACACGTTGCGCGCGCGCGACCGTCGTCAACGAAGTACATAGAGCGAGCGAACGACGACGCGGCCGCTCTCACTACTCACTGCCACGGTCGCGTGTGACGTCACGACCCCCGCCCGCCCCGCCGTCACCCGCGGACGCCATAACCCAACGAGCGCCAGTCTGCATGATGAATGTGGATTCTAGGCTTAAGATTGCAGTGAGTTCAATTTGCCGATTAATTAAATAAATCAACAATTCTAAAAACGTCTAAAAACATCCGAGTTAAGTAATAAATCGTATTTAAGAATATTTAATTATTGATCAGGTTAGAATAATTCGGACAGTAAAAACAGTAATTTTTAATTATTAGCTATTCGAATGAACTTCAGACTTTCATAATGAATGGTCGAAACTCTAAACTTTATAGATTTTGTGTTGCTAGCTTGCTATTTGATTTTAATTAACTAGGAACCATAAAAAAAACTGTAGGTTAGAAGCGGTTATAATTATTATATCTAATTAACATTCTTAAGCTAACGTTTCACGTCCACGTTTTAGGAATTAAAATGCAGTCGCTTAGGTGAAATAGAAGCCTAATGTTAATTCAGGTTATCTACATGCAATCTATAAAAATCTATGTCAGTGATACACTTTTTCATTTTAACTTTTTAATCGATCGACAGTTTGTTTTGAGCCTTTAAGAAAAGGGAACATCTTTGCAAAATATTGGTATTAATATTAGAATAATAATACTTACGTAAAAACTTAAGCAATTTTCATTAGCTATGTGGATCATTAAAGGGAAGTACGCTATGGGTTGAGAGTGTTAAAATGTTAATTATTTTCTACCAAATCGTTTTCCTGCCCCAAAAACAATTGACAGGGGTCCACATCTGACACAATAAGTGACCGTGTATTTTTAATCTTGCGACACGAAATCGTTAGATAAGATTGGATGACGCGAGCATGATGTTCGGTTGCGAGTTGCTGGATGTTCGTCATCGTCACGTGTTCGCACGTTCGTTGACCTGTATGTTTTGGGAGTTGGATCTTTGCTCTGAAGCAAATGTACTTACTTCTTACCGTGTAACACAGCGTTAAATTCTTGAGATAGCTCTTGCTTATGGAAATTATGGCTTCTGTTCTTCTTCGCACATATTGTGTAAGTTATTTTGTGTTACTTTTTATAAGAGATTAGTTATTTTACTATATTACATTTTATAATTAGTAACTTTGTTCGTTTACACTTTATTTGCATGTCGTGTCTGCCTATTTATAAGCTCAATTTTTTGGGAAGGTTTCTTTGTATTATGCTATTTTATCCCTGTCTATAAAAAATTGAAGCTTAGTTAAGACTTTTTAAATAAAAAAAAGAAAGAATAATTGAAAATGTATGCAAAAAAACTGTGTGTTATTGTGTTTTTATTTTATTTTATCTGGTAATGTTTATAGTTAACGCGACTAGTCCATTCAAATAAACTACCGTTTAGCCGTCCCCGGTGAGCACGGCTGCTGCAAAAGATTTGGTCTAGTTTGCTTATCAATATAATTTAAACTTTAAACAGTGAAAGATTTCATGTAGGCCTTACATTTTGAATAAAGATGTAGTAATACATACTTTAAGTATGAAGATCGCTGGCCTTCTCTTATAAGCACAAAGTCTTAAGCCTTTCCCTTACCTCCGCGGAATATATCTATTTGAACTACACAATGACGCCCTAAGTAGGAAACAAGTAACACCGAAATCTTGATTAAAAGCAGTGAATAGAACCGCCTCATTTCTTGAGCAAGGCCGATGATGATTGAAAATAAACGCTTTTTTGTCGCCTCCACAGATAATGTTTGAACAGTCGTGAGGTTAGTCAGTCGTGCGTGCATTTAAAGTGCTCGATTGGTTCCTCCTAGCCCCTTGGCGACTTTATACGTCACCACTTGTTGGAAAATGGGACATGATGGGCTGAATCTTCAAATTGCCTTTGAATTACCTCAGTGATAAAATGGAGACTTACTAATGTAGTTACGTACATTTCTGAATACGACATTGCGAAATCATTGCTTACCTGAAACAAAAATAGAAAGTTATTAGTTTAAAAAGTACAGAAGCCGCCACTTCTTCAAGTTATTGACTAATATTCGGGTTAAAACAGTGTTTTAGTTAGTAAGTTAGTAAGCAGTAAGAGATCAGATGTGGAAATAATAAATATTGTTGTCATAATGTTGTTTTTCTCAGAAGCAAAACTATTTTCTTAACTTCACAACTTCGCTCTTTGAAAAAATGAGACTTAGTAATTATTAAAGTGCAACTCGTACACGAGAACTTAATTTATCATTACGATATAATTGCATGCAGTATGAAGTACGCGTAATGCTCGCTGATTATAGAGTCAACACAGTTTTTATTTATAAATGTATATCTTGTACCTAGGCTACAAATCTGTGGATACCTACTGTAAAACTCAAATCAAAATAAGTGTGATTTATTTATGAAGCGAATCTGTAAAGAATCGCTACGACTAGCTTTCTCGGTACGGAGCTGTGGAGGCAGGTAACGCGACTATTTTTAGCGTTCGCCGACCGGTTCCGATCTCCCTCGTATTTTGTATCACTCGAAGTCGGACGGGTTGCCGCGGTCGTGTCGTTCTAGCGATGCAGGCGTATAAAAAGTGGACGTGGCGGAATGGTCTGCTGAAGCGCAATTAAGACCAAGGTCTCCGGGTTATCAAACCCGTGTCGACTTGCCGCGCCTCGCTGCCGTCGCAAAAAAATATGGCGAATAATGAAGTCGATGGTATTAAGAGATAATGGCCGAGTTATCACGCCGGCTGCGCTGCCCTTCCACATTCACGCAGTGGCATTTGCGTCGCTGCGGCCTGGTTGCCTCGGTAGCCATATTGACGGGCGAGATATCGGAATTCCCGATGATAACATCCTCCCATACTGCGGTAGGAAGTCAAGGGTAGGTACGACACATCCAACGCATACTCAATGCGACGATCCTGTTCGTTGACTTCTGTGCACTTGACAATAACTGATGTCAGTTGCGTGAAACCATGTTACCGTTTTATTCAGTCACACGGACGATTATGTAATACCTAACAGCCTAGGTCTATGCTAGATAAACGTAGGCTCTGAGCGAACAGCTTTAGCTGTACTTTCGCTTGCAAGCGCATCGGGTAACGCTTTCCTATTGACAACCGAATAGATTTTGAGTCTTATTCCTTGCGACGGAAGTACTGTTTTGGAATAACGGACGCACATAGCAAGTTCGCTAAGGTAGTCGTATCATTTACGTGATGTAACTACTGAGTCCGAATGATAGTGTAATCTAGGCTGCAGCAAAGTGGTAGGTGTTTAGGGTCTTGAGAATTGGCTGATGTTCTATCACATATTGGATTGTAGAATGCTACGCTTATTGCATCGACGATTTATTCTGTGCGGAATTGAATACTGGTAATTCTAGTATTTTATGCAGCTTGAGAAATAGAATTCTTGTGAGCAAGTATTCTCTGTAGTTTACGGGAGTGGTACACACTTAAATAAAACCCTTGCAACGGTTGAAAAAAGTGAAATATAATAGTTAACTTATTTCTGATTTATCTCAACTACAGCACGACGCTACAGATCTTTTCAGGGCCCCGGGACGGCTGCTGAAAAGGACCCAAACGTCGGGCCGTGAAAGCAAAGGCAAAATCATTTATTCTGATAGGTAACTATGTACACTTATGAACGTCACAAAATAATTAAAGAATCTAACTTTACATTTACTACCAGTTCTCAAATCAAGAACGTAGAACGTACAAGAAGAACTGGCAATAAACTCGCAGTCACTCCTTTTATCGCCAAGTTTCATTTTACATTCTTGATTTACTTTTAGTACACTACATATTTTTCATTGTAAGAGCGGGTTCTCCACACCCCAAGAATTTTTATCAATATTGATTAACGTCATAATAACCCTTTCCAAGCAGTATTTGTTTTACATACGAGTTAAACTTATTTATTGAGAGTGCTTGCACTTCGCTGGGTTTTATTAAAGTATCGTATGCAGTTGCCTTGAAAAGAACGACTACTTTTATGGAGCCTTTTGTTTGGTACACTTATTTTGTCCTTATTACGTGTATTGTACTGATGAAAGCTGCCGTTTGTTTTAAAAGTATCTACGTTTTTCCCCACATACAAAAAAAAATCATAGATATATTGACTTGCCAGCGTTAGGATATTCAATGCTTTGAACTTATTTCGAACAGACACACGTGGGGAAAGACCACAAATCGATCGAATAGCCCGTTTCTGCAAAACAAATATGATTTGAATATCGGCTGCATTGCCCCACAAAAGGATACCATAAGACATTACACTATGGAAGTCACTGAAGTAGACAAGCTTGGCTGTATTAAGATAAATTGGAAATATGTTAACTAACATCATTTACGTTTTTCATCGTAAAAAGTGTTTTATTTAAATCTTGTGAACACTAAATTATAAGTACTAAATTAACAGTAACTGTAAGTAGATAGATAAATAGGCGACGCTTGTTGCAAGAATAAGTTATATTATATTTTATGTAAGTATTTACAACAATACACACGTTTATCAATTGGATGTATAGATAATTTAAACACCTCAGTATTTCTCTAAAGCCGCTTCATCAATCTAGTAGAGTTGTATGCAAATAGCTGATCTAAAATAGGTCAAAGCAATACACTGCTGCGTCGACCGTTGCTGGATGCGCGTGAGTCGAATGCAGATGCATAAAATGCATCAATTGCGTAACGCATTGTCCTCGCTGCAGCAAAAAGATGACACAACTGCATTCGAGACCTGCTTATCCGGACGAATTGTGGTAATCCTAAATATTGAAATCCCTTCAGAGAGGGCAGACACATTGATATGTCTGTTCCACTAATGGATTTACAGATAAGATAAGTAAGCCTAAGTCATATGTTACGATGTTAAGTTAGTCGGGATTCGAATTTAGGACTTCCGCAGCATACTCTGAGAAGTGTGAGTTGGTGTATTGACCGTGATGATGATCCCCTTCAATAAAAAAATTATCAAATATGCTAAATGATTTATAGTAGGTATAGAGTATCTACTTAGTAATATTGAAATATACATATATTTATATTGACATAGAGCAAAAATCATATCCGTAAATATCAGGTTTACAAACAGAGATTGATATCTCTCCGTTCAACATTTCATGTAAATCATTTATGTTTGTCATGCTCATAGAAATAAATAGTTTTAGCCAATGTTATATGAATAACTTTAGTGTGGAGCGAGGTTTTTGAACTCTTTGTTTTTATTTAAAACCTACTTTTCATAATTGCGAAAGGTTCCGTAGGTTATATTATGGTTTATAACTAAACATCTGATTAGTGTATGGGCGATGTTTTTTCTTGAAGTCTACAAAACCACGCCAGTATTGTATATTTCTTGATGGTAATCGCGCAGAAATCAAGTTAAGTGTTAAATTTTAATTTGCAGAACGCCAAAACTAAAACGTAGGCGAATAGATTTTTCACACTCAACAGCGGAACAATACAAATAAACGACATTTTTTCCAACATTTAAATGTAGTATCTATTTATTTCTCTGACATGAGTCGTGTCGGAAATGCCGTTGACTTCGGCTAGAGTTTGCCAAAATGTGAACTCTGTTTTTTAGGAAAAGATTGACAGCCTGCGTCGTCTCCTACACCCTTGCCAAGTTTGCAATTAAAAATATAAAGATGAATTCTTGTTTTCGGTAGCATGTGTGCCTCGACGCGATCATAGTTTATTTTAGAACAATTAGGCGTCCAGATGTTACCTACTTCGGTTCTATTGTCATGAGAATGAACTCATATCGAGCAGTAATATAAAGATGTTTAACACCGATCGTCTTTATGTGAGCTAAATTCGCAAAGTCCAGCTAGAGTACATGCTCACAACTACCTAACCATGGATATTCGAGAAGGCATTAGCGGCGGGACAAATTGAAAATAATTTTGTCTAATTGCTAGTCACGGCCAGGGCCAATCGGCACCTATACGCGATATCGGAAGGTCCGCAAGGTTTCCTGAAACATTATTCATTCCAACTGTCAAACGGGCATCTCGAATCGCATAAGCTCCATTATAATTCAGACACCTTTTAAATTGAAGAGCTTACGATTCGAATAATGGCCGTCCACTCAAAATTTATCATCGCCCGCCTAATGCACATAAAATATGTACTTAACATTGAACGGCCCGAGATTTTATTTGCACAGTAATTGAAAACGACGAGCGCACGACGCATGTGTTAATATGGCTTCGCCTTGAAAACGATTTTGAATATCAGGATCGACGGAATAACCTTCCTCCGAATCTAAGTGCGAATTCCGCATAACCTATCAAGGGGACTGCCAACAACGGTTTCTCGACTGACGAGCGGAGGACGCGCGTCCTAGATGCATCGCTGGACGGGCGCCAAGGTTCCAGCTCGGCTTTCAAACCTCTCCACAAAACGCGGCGAAGCTAAGGCGGTCAAAATACCTCTATAGGAACGAGGATACGAAGGAGGCACGTACGAGCGCAGGAGTGACGCGTTCGCTGCAAGTCGGGACACGGAGTAAAAATAGTTCAATGTAAATACATAGATCGTGTTACTTAGAGCGGCGAAGCGAGACGAACGCTCGGCGGGTCACGGGCGCGTCTTGGTGTATTAAATTTATAGCGTCGTAACTCGTAGCCGATCGCGAGAGCAACAAAACCTCGCCTATTGTTCGCCCGGAATAAAAGTCGTATCGCTGCGACTCGCGAGCTCGCGTTGCCAATACGAGCACGCGTTCGAGCTGCCAGCGCGGGCATAATGCGGAGTTTTACTGCCGCCTCTCGTAAAACTATTCCGACTGCATTTCCTACTAACAGCCGTTTCAGTTCGGCGTTACATTCCTAATCTACGTACTATTTTCAAACACTCGTTTCGACGTTGCCGACTCGACGACTGCGCTAATGAATCAAAAGTCGAGAGAGGAACGAGTTCTGAGCTTGCAAATTATATTAGTGGTGTTTAAGTAGTGAATTGATTGCGTATTGTTTTTTTGCAATTTAATTTATACTCAATTCATCGTTAGAAGCACTGGAATATAATTCGCCAATACTCCGTTCCAATCTCATTACAATGCTGTCGGTACGGTTCTGCCCTTTAATCGAGCCTTGTAAATCATTTCCTTCGCCCGGCATCGAGATATAAGTGATGGCCGTGAAATAAATTCTCGGTTTTGTTTTCGATTAAAGATAAGTTGGCAGCGTAAAGAAAGTAGGTATTGTGAGGCTGCATTTTTGAGATTCCCGCTCCGCTTGTCATTACGCGAGACTACCTGGCGATAAATATTGTAGCGTGTTCCGACTGTAAAGGCGGTAACGTGCGTTATAAGTAATTTAACCGCCTGAATATCTTTGACATTTGACGACGACTGTAATTACATACAGCTTTTTCCCTCGACGATTGACCTTTGCTAGAAGAATATAATTAACTGTTTACAGTCTGCTTATAGAAATGCGAAAGTTGGCGTGGATCGACATCCAATTACGGAACGGTTGCCTTTTACGCTTAAATTATTGAACACATTTTGATAAAACTTAGCAGTATAAAAGCTCACAATATAGAAAATTATAATTTTATTAGTTATTTCTGAGAGGTAGTTTTTAAAACGTTTTGTAATAGTTTTTCGAAACAGTTCCCGCTTTCTAAATAATAAAATCGAAACGGAGCGCATTCTTGAACAGTCGGAAGTGATTAAGGCTAGACATCCATCAACGATCCTACTGGCTCTATGTTTTGTTAGTCGCGTCAGATGGTACTCTAGTTTTATTGTTTCCGCGATCGTAAATCACCTTAATCGTGAATAAACGCAGTGCAAATATTCAACAAGTTTCAACTAAAATATTGTTTAGTTACTAATACCCACGAATAGAACAAACAGTCTTGCGATTACAGAAAAAGAAAAATATTTACGATTTAGTCTTAATTAATAAATGAATTGAGTACCAATTGAGTTACCTATAGTCAAACTTATCATATTAGGGTCTAAGGGACTCGGTGACACTTTTTAGTTTCTGTGGAATGTGTGGTTGTTTGTCTGTGGAATGTATGACTGTACACAGCTCTACATAGACGCCACCAAGTTCTGCACACCGACTGCCCTTGAAAAGCGATAAGGCAGTGTTTGTCACAAGTCGAAGATTACGTAACGCATAATGATTAATGAGACACAGTTATCCCAACTCGCCAATATGAGAGAGATTCGAAACGTGAGGAGCAGAAAGTTTCGAAGCCCGAACTTCGTAAATGAAATAAAATACTTGATCGAACAAATTCAAGATAAATCTTTTTCGATCAAGTGAAATCGCACAACATAGTTTTTCTTTAGCAAAAAAGCTTACTTCCAAATCAAAATGACATTTTATTTTGCATATGGATCTATAATAGTTCAAGTGCAATGACTAAATAATATACAAAACATACTGATTGATTCTACTATATTAATTACTTAACCAGTTCGATCTTGTTTCTTTTCGCGAGGTAAGTAAGACTTGGCTCACTTATAATTGAAATTATAAATTGGCACAGTTTAATTTATAATCCAAGATCCTTTTTTCTCGACCTTCTCTGTGTCAATCTAAAGTAAACAGTATAATGTACACTTGAGTGTAAAAGTTAACAGTTAACCTTCAGCGCCAATAAAGCAGTCGCCAGCTACAATTGGGATCTCAGAAGCAGGTCATCGGATCAGGGCGCACTCCAGCACTAGCCTTGACCTGACCACGCCTGACTCAGCAGGGCACAGTGTGCATCCATTGCATCGCGCGTGCGTCACTTTATCAACGCAATTACTCCTATATTTAGATGAGGGTACGGAATTTGAGCGTCGCCCTTGCATGTGAGGGATTGGGCCGCGTGATTTGGGTCAGCTAATCGATAGTTCTGTTGAGGATTGAGAGATTCTTACTAAAATATCATTACAAGAGTATTTCTCATATTGGTAAGACAGAATTTTTAAATCAGCTTTATTGATAAAATCGATATATGATAAAAGACTGGGAAGCGTTCGTATTGTTGAATCCGGACTTTCGGCAAAAAGTAGAAAAAAAAACTTCCATGTCATTGTTTTTTGAGACATGCAATCCAAGCAAATGAACATATTATTACATAATAATTAAATGCAGACTGTTTTTTGTATCATTTGAAAACTTATTGCTTAGCTTACTCGACGTAGCGGGGATTTATCTAGTTCACGCTTTTAGCGCGTAACTGACGTAATTGAATCAGAAGTGTGTTAGTAAAGGAGCATCCTCCAGGACATGCAACTGGGTCGCCGAACGGGGACAAGGCTACGAGAGAGAATATTATTCTATCAACTCGTATACCCCACTATTCGTAGAGCTGTTTATGACTCTGTAGTAGGATAGTCTTTTTTAGCATTTAAAGTAAAACGTTAAATTGTTGCAATTTCTTTTCTTTACTATAAGGAGAGTAAATTTGTTATTTTATTATAACACGTCAGATAACAGCTTACCCAAACGCAAACCAAATTATGACGTTTTATTCTTTTGCTTTAAGCAAATATATTCCTTATTAAGCCACAAAGAAGAGTCTACAGAATTACGTCGTTTTATAAATAGCATAATTTAGAGTCTCCTATTATGTAGTAAAGAAATCTGACATAATTTGCTCATTCTGTCGGCGTATCACTTAGCTGGGACTCGCCATTCAAGATGGCAAAGCTGATATTTTCGAAAAACGTGAAAAGCTTAATCCTGTCTAGACATCTTTACTCATATTCTTCGCCTGTAAGCAAATGAACTGTAAACGGGTATTATCCTCGCTAGCCTTGAGGCTGCGACGACATATTTACAGCCGGCGAAACATGTAACGAATGTGAGTTTTATAAATCGGTAATATTGACCCGTTTCTTCCGTGTTCGCGAGGTCGTGATACGCTTATCAGCTGTGGCCTTATAAAATGAAAACAATGCATTCGCTGTTATCGTGTGGCCTTCCTGTTTTAGGCTGTTTGGATTACACTATTCTTCAAAACAAGTTGACCTTAAGCGAGATCTGCACATATTTAGAACGATGACGATCTCGTTTAGAATCTGTGGTTGATATAGATTAAAACACAAACGCTAGTCTGTGACTGTTAAATATTACATTCGAACCCGCAGCATTATCTGTTGCTTTTATAATTAATAACTAGGCAATAAAAACATCGATTAGACACGGTTATTTTGCTAATATATGTAATTCATTAATCATAAAATGTTGTCGAGTTGCGACTCTAGGCGGAACTTGAATTCATTTATAGAGATTAATCTTATATTGTTAAATGATATTAAAATAAGAGCTAACTGAGATACAAAAAGATTGATATATCGAATTGTACTCCGTAGTAATTGATATGTTCTTTTGGCGATAGAGGAGGACAAATGAGCATGGGTTTTATTGGATGGAAGATGAAATAGCACAGTCATATAATATGTCAACACGATGCGCTGTGAACTTGTTTTGTTTCAAGTCGGATTATAGAATTAGTTATATTGAGTACGATCGGTGGCCGATAGCAATTCATAGGTAACTGTCAGTGCATAGTAGGGCAGCCTTGCATTATCGCAACGCGCCCTTGCTCCACTTGCCACTATCTCGGGTATATCGTTCGGATCTGATAAACGAGCTTCAGTATTCGCAACGAACCGGTCGCCATTTATATCGAGACGTAGCGTTTGGAAGATCGCGAGGAAACCAAAGTTATACCGAAACATGAAATTTTTGCTGAAGTAAAAAGAGACATCCTATTCAAAACACAAACTATATCTAAAACCTCGCTCACATCACATAAATAACAACGTCTCGCCCAAAGAATAACAGACTAAATAACCTTTCGCAAAAACTGATCGATACGTGATTCGATTTAGTCTCGATGTTTTTTCTCGACAATCGGTCTAGCTTATACGTCACAGCCAAAAATTACGACCAACAAAAAATCGCATACAATGGATCACAAACTACAAACAAATTTGATGTAGGCGGTGTTTTGAGGCTTGTATGTGATCCCAAGGATGACAAATTTGATAAGTACAAGAACGTTAATCAATTAGTAATATTGAAAGAATATTCAATAAGCACATACTGATTGAATATTATTTATTACGTACATAAATTGATAATAAAAACTTAATAAATAATGCATTAATTATAATACCGCTGTAACCTGCTATTAAGAAGAGAAATTACGTTTAAGGATTAATTACATTTAATTTTAAAATTAAACTGTCCTAATAAAAGCTTTGAGTACTGTGTTTTTCTTAATTCCTGTATCATGGTTCACAAAAACGGTCACCATAATTATTTTTGTAGATACAGCTCGCAGCGTAGTAAACATTGCAACAATTGCTGGTGCCATTAAATATTTTTTGCAATTATTAGTTACAATAACAAAAATACTCCGATCAGTAAATAGATTGTAGAGCAACTGTTTTTATGCAAAGGTCATGCGCAACAATGCGACACCTGCCCGCCCCTTCTAGTCCTTCTACACCTGTATGGAATTCATAATATGACCATTTGGATGTCTATAAGTGTACTCTGCGTCGCGCAAAAGAAACTTATAACGGTCGAATCATAAAAATTGCGATATTATTATGCTACAAAACGATAGAAAAATTAGATTATTTTGACATTATAATTTGGACAGGTAACACTTCGTGTATAAAATAATTGTCAGCTTTTACAAATACAAGCGAAAATAGGTGTACTAATATCATTTATGTATAATGTCTATTTGATATTGAGTAAATAATTTTCGAACTATTTAAGACACAAGGTTTGTTATTTCCTTTTGTCACAAGAGAGGCAAACGCTGACTGAATATATTTAGTGTTTTAAACCGGTTAATTGTTTAATGATCACCACTTGCTTACATTATATGTAATATCTACTTCCTGAGATATTTTATATTGTAATAAGTGAATAACAATGTATGTTTTTTTAAATACATCCTTCTCTAATTAAGACTCGTAATCCCTGGTGGGTTGCCAAATTTTACCAAAATATATAAAAAAGGTAACCAGTCATTACATATCTTTCAATTTGTTGTTTCAACTCTATAAGAGTAATATTATTTTTTATCAATATCCACCAATTAACACTTATAGCACAACAATGAGGAAAACTCTATTCTTTCTGTAGAGACATAAAATGGTCTTGTTATAGCGTCAGGTGTGTCGTCAATTTTTTACGTGGTAATAATTTAATTCACAAACAGAGTAACGGTCAGAAACAGTATATAAAGTACCCTTAAACGCTTGCCTCTTTATTATAATCTTAAGCTTTTCATGCAATATTTTATATCGAAAGTTATTCCTATGCTTTCAAACTAATTATTTTCATACAAGAATACTTTTTGATTTATTAGACACAGATAAGGAGTTGGCAGGTTCGGCGCACGCTATTATTTTGTGTTTCTTTTACTTGTTTGTTGGCTTCTAATGAAACTTAATTACCATTCTGTAAAGGAAAATTACATACATTTGAAGTCTCATATGAAAGCTTCAATTCGTACTTCTAGTGTACGAGGGAACACTAATAATCTCTAAGTTATTTTTTCAAACTTTAGACAAATATTCGTCCTTCATCTTTCGTCTTCGACATTCTTGTCGAAGGTTGAGTCATTTTAAGTTTTTTATAGTCATACTTAAATTGTTAATCAATTCGGAAATAAAAGACAGTCAACCTCCCGTCGCCACGACGACAAGACAACTAGAAGCCTAGTCGGTACATGCAGTAATGGCTTTTCATTTTAAAACATAAAAAAGGCTTCCCAAGAAAACAAAACGAGTTGCGGTCGGTCGGAATATTTTAAATGATCTCAGAGGACCTGTCCTACACCAGGTTGATGCACTTTGTCTTGAACAAATGCAGATAATGGAAGACATTAAATATAATGCACAACTTTAGCCCGCGATACTCTTAATTGCAGTCTCGTAGACAACGAGTACCTGCCGGTTTAGTTATCGAATGGACTTCATTATTTTCTTTTCTTACGGCATTATAAAATGTAAGAAAAAATCTTAAGCAAATAGATAAATGAAAAATATCGGTTTTTATAGAGTTCATTAGCGTGTCAGTGAATCACGCGCACGGCGGAACAGAACTGTTCAATTCCCGCGATTGTAGAAGGCCAATTAGAACGTTCGCTCTAATTAAGTATCAGGAAATATTTATATATTAATCGAGCAGCATTCATGGTCTACGTTTGAAGTGAGAAATCTTTCTCGTAGTGTAATCTATGACTTTTTTAAGAATCTTATTAATAATAGGCCTCAATAACTTACTCGGTACAAATATGTAGTTCGCTAGGTTTATCAACAGTGACCGTGATTGTTCATCTCGTAGCTTGACTGCGAGTTGAATGCTATTGCGCAAGTATACGCCTTAATCTGAGCCATGACACTGCGCATCGAGCGGATCGTTTCGGTCTAACGCGGCACGTGGTGCCCCAAATTTTGATAAACTACTTGTAAGTTGTAGCTCTACTTATACCGTACATGTAACATCATTAGTATACATCAAATCTAAATATTTTAAATAATACGTGTTATCTTACAAAGTATTCCACTGGATATCTACATCTGCAAGGTCTTTTTTATTTTCGCAATGACCTACTATTTAGCGAATGGGGTCAGATATTAAAATTGACGAGAGATGATAATCAAACTTTCTTATCAGACAAGTAGGACGAAATACTTAAAATTTAATCTTAAGCTTGCGTTACAAGGAACCAAATTAGGTTTAAGATGTAACTGCGAGCCAATAGAAATGCTAGGATATGCTAGGAGCCAGCATATCTGGCAAACTGAAAGTGTAATCAAAAATGAATGTAGATAACAATAGTTATTACGTATGTACTTATGTAGGCACGGTGTTGTTTACAGATATCTCGTCCGTTGCCCTCTAAGCAACTCGCTGACATTGACGAAGCAAATACTGATAACCACACACACAATCACAACATTACGCGTGTGGGTGGTGTGAGACACTCGAATTTGTTTAATGGGCGTTTAAAGCGGAAAATTAATTAAGGATTTCCTCCACGAGATTTGATTCGATGATTGATGACTTGCCGAAATCTGGTGTCTCATGGACATCAGGTATTCGCCTCGGATGGCGCTGTTAAGCATATTTTATCGCTATCACAAAAAATAGAGCATGTTAAAACTTATAATAATACACAAATATTATAATGTTGTTTTATGTTCCGTTCATTGCCCTAAAAAGATCTTAACTTAGAAAAACAAATAAAATGTTTAAAAACAATGTTATTTTAAAAACGAGCGATGGACTTTAGCCGTGATGTTTACCTGTTACTAAACATAAGAGCTTATTTAATAATGAATCTTTCAAAAAGTAGTCGCAAGGCGAGTCCATCTCTGATATCGTCTTGCTAAATTTCAAGTCTTTGAACATTCAATTCTTAACGCTGCCAAAATACCTTCAAGTGAATTAAATACTTAAAATTCTCGTCACTGTCGTAATGTGAATATAATAGAAAAAGCAAAAACCAGTCAAAATGCGTGGCATGACGCAACGAGAGTAGTGAACGTGGCTTCGGTTCTGTGCCCCTAGCGCGTTCGTTGTTCTGTTCGGCAACTTGAGAATATTCTCTGCTCAAGGTCCGCCCGTTTCAAGGCCAGTGGCAACGGGAAATCGGCCGTCGCCAACCAACTGCTAATAACATTGTACGTTTTAAAACACTATTCAATTATTACACCTTTTTACCCGACCGGCGAGGCTAAAATGGCTAAATATTTTGGCAATAGATCTAGAGATATCAAGAGATTTTGCTAAACACATCTATACTAATATCTAAAACGGAAGGGTTTTTGTTTTTTTCTTTGAATGCGCCTATCTCAGGAACTACTAGTTCGAATTAAATAATAATTTTTGTGTTAGTTTTTTGAGGAAGGCTTTAATCGATACAGTGTGAAGTGTGAAACAAACGGGGAAAATTATTCATCTTTGAGAGTTTCTTTCGTTGGTCCAAAACGATACCAAAAAATTCGAAAGACAGAATTATTTCTATTTTATATGATCTTAAAAAATATTTGCGACGATATAAGCCTTTCTTTTAAGTTTAACTTGCAAGAATGACAGGACGCGAACGATGTGCGACGTCGTGAGTTACAGCTGTAGTTTATAAGGATGGGAAAGAAAGGTTTTGATGCCCAAAGTAACTATTCTATCGGACTATGCGGACGACAGGCGCAGTCGCAGGCACAGCTAGTCAAAAATAAATGTCCAACGAACAAGTCGCGTTTACAATTCAATATTTGTGTAAGGGCGTTTATAAAATTTACGGCGCGCTGTACGTGCCAATATATTAAGATTTAAATCAATATACGTGCGCACACTTATATCAGACTTTATGTCTTATATGATAATAATCTGGCGACACCTAAGCGTTTGGTCCTTAAATTTGCATTTGAAAACGTCTCACGTTGCATGGCGTCATTTAAACCTGGCGATTTCGATGGCTAAATATTTATTGGACGGGCCAGAAACCCTCTCGGAATTCTGTCGGTGGACGAGGATTTCACAAAATATATTGCTCATTATTACATCTAACGAAAGGCGTTTGCGCAGTGCGGTGGTTATTAGGGTCTATGCATATCCATCGGTTCTTCTGAAGCCGTGAAGATAATTTTTCGTAAACCGTGAACTTAGGAAATTCTACTATTTTATTCGGTAACGTCGTAAATGGAACAATACATAGTCTCACATAATTCAAGTCATGGGAAAAGAACACGATATAGTTTTTGTAAAGTGGGGAATATAATTAGTGCGAGCTAAAACCAAGGATCCGTGATAATAGACTTTTTATTTGTATCGTGCAATTCAATGACTTCTAAACAATACCTTTCATAGAGAGCTCTATTATTTCCATTTAAGGACGAAGTTCTATGTTGTTTGAAACGGAAATTTCATGAACTAACCCCTCGGACTTCACGGTATTATAATAAAACTTAAAACTAATTGAAGAAATTCATTCAAAATGGTTATACAATATAGAGTTCAATGGTTTGATGCAAAATAGCCAACTCCATAATCCCGTTAAAGGATATATTGTGAGATTTTCTATCAGAACTAATTGAAAGGGCGGGAGCGTGACTGACAATTAATTTCCGAGTTTAAGCGTATCAGAACGAGCCTCTAAATCTACCGAAATGTATCTAAGACTGGTATCAAATTCACTTCATTCTCCAAGTAATAATGATCGAGATAAAAATAATACGAAATACAAGATTCCAGACGGTACTTTTTGCACAACAGACCATCAACTAGAATTGTGAACAGCGCTGTAAAGAATCAGGGTGTAGCAAACTTAATTCTGAACCAACATAATGTTATGCGGTATCGATTTCGCAAGTCGATTAAATGCGTTGGTGACTAATGTAAGAAAAACGAGTGGTAGCAGTTAGTGCGGCTTTAATAGTATCGCAGTATTGATAATTTTATGTGCACATAAATTCCACACACATTACTAGTTTTAAATGAACATGTTGGATTTTCTAAAAACACGTAAAGCCCTTAAATTTGCTACAAAGTAACGTCAAAAACCCGTTTATGCAAATGGTGTAAGTTTTGTGTGGAAAGCGGCGAATGTCAAGTCAAGATCAAATCCTTGCTGGATTACGTCATGCTTATTTCGTCCAAGGTGGAGCGGCTGCATCCACCTTTAATCCACTTGTGGGTTTCATTTTGTTGCCGAGAGATTCAGTATCCGTTTGCAGTAAAAGCTAAGGTATGTCGATTGGATCATGACGTGAGTCGACCTACATTGGTGTTCTGCGAATTTCACTATGACGAGACTTTTAACGTTGATTTTGTAAATAGATGGAGAAAGAGGCCACTGTCGTCGTTAAGTAGTTGGGAATCACGCCGGGAATTCAGGTGTTGACCTACTTGGCTTAAAAAAATATTTTAGGAGCTAAATAATATAACAGGCGTTCAACTTTAGTCTGCGAAATACAGTGCTATAAATAAATAAAAAAATCCTAAATAGATTTAATTTTTCCGAAGTTTGAAATAATATTGCACATAAATTATAGATTATATTTATGAAAAAAAAGAAGAAAAACCATACATTTGACTATAATTAAGTGTTAATATAAAGAGCACCTAATATATTGGCTGCCTTCTAATTAATGATAGACAGGATGTTATTCGATCACCGAAAAGTCAGAAGCCGTATTATATAACTCGATATCGACGTAACAGGATCAAATTTTTCATGGTCAAAATAGCTGCGTTCACTGCGGCCTTGAACGTCGGTTCACGTACATGAGGTTTGTATTCGTCGTCTCCGTACAGGCACCTGATCAAACATGTGGGGAGATAAGCGGGACACTTGATGTGAGACTTGACAGATAACGATGGCTTCCTGGCTCTAGTTAAGTACTTGAGAGTTTAAACGAATGTGGAAGCAATTTGAAAGGAATGCGCACTTACCATACAGGGTATTAAGTCAATTTTCAATGCCACGAGGCTGAAGAGGAGAATCTGTTAAGGCGGTCACGAAATTAAAAATTGTAAAGTCACAGAACACGAGCGGTGTAGCTGGAAACATTGTATGCGCCTCTTCTTATGCAAATGACGATTGATATGTGAATGCAAAACGCTTGAACTCTGTATCTCTGCAAAGAAATACCACACAATCTGCATAACATCAATGTCAGCAAATGTTCTGCGATGACTAGTTTCAAGGGAAACTGTAAACGTTACGACAACAAAATATAAGAGAGGACAGAAAGGAAAAGTATTTATAACACCTCGCTGATTTATTATGAGGCAAATAAAACTAATTCCGAGCTGTCAGGACGAATTGATGTCCTATTATGAATAAGCCCGATCGAGTGGCCCTGGCCAAAAATTCAATAGCCCTGAGCGATCGAGCCGACTGGCACGTGTAACTTTTTGTGCAAACTCTTTGGAATTCTTTGTTACGTCCGAAGATTCCGAGTTGAATATCTTATTATGCAACATATTAATAGTTTCGGAGCACCTAAATTGCGTTCTAAATTCGTAGCGTTCTCGGAATTCGAGATAAATTCTAGCGTTGTTTTGAATGAGTTTTAAGACACAAGACAAAAATAATACTGTGTTATGTTTATGGCGGGATTACGCAACGACGAGCGAGTCGAAGATGTGACATCGTCGGCAACGGCGAGTGGGCTCGGTGGCAACTTTCTACGCGACCTCGAAATGCTGCATTCACTTTCTTCACGACTCCGCACCGGTTACGCAACCGACTACGACCGACATACCCGCTTTGAAAGCGCTTCGCTGTCGCACCATTGACATATTTAAGCGTCAAACTTCCCGCGCCAGTTCTATCGTTTTCGCTCCGAGGGCCGAGGCAGGATGCGAGTCGAAAATTAGAACAAAACGAGAATCGAGCGCCGAGCGAATTCGTTACTAATATGGCCAGCGAAGTTGCGAAGGACTCAAAAACACCAGGTGCCGTCCTCGTTGCGTCCAAGGCCAGCGTTTCCTAGAGCTGAGCTGCATTTAGGTTTCTTTTTGTTCGTCGCCTGTTCCTTCGTTCGAGCCGGATCGCGTGCAGTCAAACCAGTTTGGTGTCGCTCTCCACCGCAGTCGTAACTCGTAAGGCAGCGCGCCCATTAAATTACTATTTCTTTTACTTTTTGAAACACCTCTAAATCCTGTCTGGAGCTAAAATGAAAATTCTCGGTCTCGGACGTTAATAAACGGCAGAGCCAACAAATATAGCCAGCAAAAATAATAACTTTTTGTTTTTAATTAAAATGTATAGGTTTGGCAAACTCTGAAAATGTTGGCCGTCGAGCATAAGTTTTTTTCTTTGACGAGTGCCTAATTAGTTAGCACTTAAAGTAAAACAATGAAGAGAAAGAAAGGAGGAAAACGAAACAAAAATTGCGTAAAAAGCGGCAAATTGAACGAAGACCCTTAGGAAGCGAAACTGGAAAAGCAACACGAGCAAAAGAGCAGGGGCGGGCGAATTGGGCTTTTTCTTAGAAACCTCCGACAACTGCGAAGCGCGCCAGCAGGAAGTGGGGAAGGACTCAGTTTATGTAACCTAATCACCTGCCCGCTCGAGGTCAAGTCGTCGAATCGGAAAAAATCAAGGCCACACCAGACCGCATTCGAGTCTGGTTCAAAAGTCTTATACCAAACCCTTCTGCCGTACGATTACGCGGCAGGATGTTGCATAAGCTTTGTTTTGTTATCCTTCGTGTGGACCGCGTCGCATTTTAGATTAGTTTTTTGTAAGACCTATTCTTTATTCCTCTCGTCCCGTAAGGCGTGCGGCCCGAAGCGTTAGCGAGGAATGCTCAGATCTTCCTTTTAAACGTTTCCTTTTGGGACTAAAAGGGATTCGTGCTTTGTTTCTCTTAGTGTTTATCTTCAACGACTGCAAGTATTTGGGAAGGAATCTCTTCGAGAACATTTCATTAATGTAAAGCGTCGGAACGAACTCGAGCACAGAAATGTATATGTTCGCAGTGCTTATCTCAAAACACTTTCGCAATAAAGACAACCCCAGACACGGCATGCGCTTAATAGAGATTGAGACACTCGGCTAATATAGCTTAAGTGGTCGAGGATATTACAGAGAACTTCTAGAACATAACGTACGTTAAAACGTACCGAGTGTCCGCACTGCAGTCATCGAGCGAGTTGAACTTGAGATTGAGCTTGGAACTTCGCAAGTTTTCATCGCATTAGAGACGGTGAGTTCGTAGAACGTTTCTAGGAATAACGAAGTACAAAACAACCAATCGTTAGAAGTAAATTATTTAAAATTGTAGGTTTATAAAACGAGAACAAATAGTAATAAAATAAATAAAAGAACATAATTAAAACAGGAATAAAAGCTTATTTACTGATGAGACACACGCATGCTTGAATAATTGGCCGAGTCGGGATGCCATAAAAAACCAGCCACGTACGAGTCGAATTCTTCCGCGAAGGGTTCCGTACCATTATTATCAAGTATCAGCAAAAATCACGCTTTTTAATTTAATTGTAATCTGCCGTATCCGACCAAAACGTCTTGTATCCCTGAGATTCAAAACCAGGACCTATCGCGTTGATCGCAACTCTAGGCAACACATTTAACCATTTATCAGGAGAGGCGCTCTCACAGAACATGTGTTTTTGTTTATGTTTAAGATACCTTAATGGGGATGGAGCAACTGAGGAGCAACGGAGTTTAGAAATAGGGTCCAGTTTTACCCTGTGGCCATGGAACCCTAAAAAAGATTCACCCGGGGATTTCCATCGTGAAATTTGGGTGATGGATGTGGGGATGTATCCCCATTTATGTTTACTACGCGTCGCCATTGGCAACCTGGCTATCTCTACATCAGCACATTGTGTTCAATAGAAACGTGGATTTAACAATAGATGGCTTTGAATGGAGATAACACAGATCGTATTACTGTACCATTGACAGAGTTTATAGAGCAATGTCAAATATTGGAAAAATTAATCTATTGAAATAATGTTCTTTTTCTAGTGCATTTTTTTTTTCAAATTTATTTTTGATGGAAGTTGCCACTACTAGTTACTCAATCATATAATCAAAATAAAGGTTTTCTTTCATATTACTAAAACGAATTCCGAACCTCTTTTACTAAATACCACTAGAATAAACTACCCAACAAGAACATATCTATTAAATCTTATTTCGATCTACTTATCTGAATTTCATTAATTTAAATATAAGTAGTGAACAATTTGCGACACAGAATTATCCAAGTACAAATTAGTTCAGGGTTTCCGAAGCGATAAAGACGTTTATAGTCGGCAACGACACGATCTCACCGACTAACTACAGCGATCTAAAAGTATAATGCGCCCGCGCCGACCGACCATGATATTTTTCAAAAGATCTCCATGAATTATTTATTCCTCACGTAGACACCATTACAATCATTTCTTTTCTACTCGAAGGCAACTGCTCGTGAATAACAAGCACTCGACTATTTTAAGACTAAGCGCCGCATTCAACTGTTTTTTAAAGCGCCTTCGCTTCTGCGAATTGACCCTGCCGTCGTTTCTCGTAGATCCTTTCGTTTCACACGCTCATCACAAATTATCTAAGGTAGGTATAATAAAACATAATCGCATATAATAAGAGTAATTAAATGATGATAATTGGATTCTTTGTGCACTGTTGATCACGGCTTACTTTCTTTACATTTTCTATTTCTCGTTCGTTTTTCATGTAAAACTAAACAAAACAATAAATACTATCGCAACGCGTCGTAAGCCTTATAGTTCTGAATTAAATCGATTGCAAAAGATTCATTGAACAACGCGAAATGATAGTTAAGAATTGATTTAGCTACCTCCGTAACGGAGCAATGCTGAAGACGTAAACACGAAAGGTGAACGACCCGGGTTCAACTTGACACATTTTGGTCGTCCCAATTGTGCGATCGCCGACCTTCCTCGGGAACAGGCCGATCAGTAGGGCTGTAGGGCTGTAGGACGATGCGTTTGCCAAAAAAACTTATTGTCCTTGCACAATACGCACTTTAGCCCGTGTACTCGAGCAGTCGGTTCGCCGTTCGCCTAATGCACCGTAATATTAAAATGGGTTACAGTAATGTTTTACTTTCCAAATGTATTATTTACATGTAAGATCTTAATCATTGTTAAAATAATAAGAATTTTTAATGTCCTACATTCTTAATATTCGTTTTTATGTTGTACTTTTTTTGGAAGTGCTAAAAATGTTTTTGACTGTGTAAAAAACAAATGAAGATGAATGGCGATCGTTATAAACAGATGTGAAACAAACTACAAAGCTGTACAGCTAAGACCCCGCAATGACTGTCAATTTAATTATTGAGGGGACTCGTAGCTGCGGTGAGGCCAACGATTTTAAGGTAAATGAAAGGAACGCACGTCTTTTTTGTGCCCTTTGACGTCACGAGGGCTGCAATAAAAAATGCAGGTAAGGGCTCGATCAACGACCCCATAGCTAGCGGTGACGTCATTAGAATAACACTGTTTCGGCGTATGCGCATCGAGAACACGGAATTTAACGCCGAGTGATCACGAATATTTTGATGCCCCTAAAACAATGGTTTCCGTGTGTTACGGCAGTAAATTTGTAAGTCGTAATGTTTGCTACGCTATTCGAATTGATGATAGGGAATCGTATGTTAGTGAGTGGTAAATAATTATAGCGAATTTAATGGACGGAAAAATCGATAACATTAATCTATAGTTAATGAAGAAGTTTCAACAAATGCAGACACACGCGACAAAAAACAAATTAAGGAAAGTTCCGAAACTGCAAGAGGGACCCGACGGCTGCATTCCACGAATCGTAAGGTTGCGCAGCCAATACGACAAAGCTGATATTTTTTGCCTCATCCGATGTGTTACTTTACAATTTGCACTAGCCAGTGTCAACGACCTCTCGCCAGCTGTTTACTGAGGAGTCGAAGGCAAGTGCAAGACGGGTTAATACAGAAGCTATTCCGCTACACACGATCCGTGACAAAAGAGACGTGGATAATGACATCATTATTTCCCTCTTAGAAGATGGCGATAATCATCACACGACATGAGCAACTACTACCTCTCATAATATTATTTCAGCATTTCCTGTGCACAACGCCCATTGTGATTCCGACACATAAAGAATGAAGCAATAGATTTTTTAGGGGTTTGGTGGAATGAATTTGTAACTCACTGAGCGTCTGTTTTGAATTTTAATGACTGGACTGCAGGGCGTAGGTCATGAGGAAGCATAAATAGTAAATACATGTAGAGAAACCGATAGCGGTTTGGCCCTACAAACCCACAACAGCTGTAGACACAACGCCACGCCGCACACATTCACACGCCCCTAGACTCACGCACACATTCGTACCGTGTAGACACACCGTAAACAGAGGCAGGTTTATGTACACCAGATGCCCCAGTAGAAAGAGACAGAAATACATTTCGAACCGGTGTTAAAATAAGACAAGCATACAAGGGAGGAGGTTTACTTAACGATGTAAGAACTCTAGTTAAATATAGTTAAGTTTGAGAAATAAAAGAGCTTTTAATACCTTTTAACTAGTACACTACGGCATGGACGAGGGCGACTATTTAAGTAGACGCATGTACGTACAATGCAAGAAACATTACGGTGATACAATTTCGGTGAGATCAAATAGCAAATAGAGTATAGACGCTTTATTCGAGGAAGCTAACAGAAGAGCAAATATTAGCCAACGCGAGGCCGTTCTTAATTAACATACAGATAGTTTAATAAAAGGCAGGAAACAAGCGACGAGGGGAGTACGCAATGAAGCGGTAAAAATAGAAGCGGGGGCGACGGGGACGCGCAGGAATCGATCCTACGGACAATGTGACGATGCACCGCATACGGCCAATCAATAGTGAATGCCAAGGCGGTTGGGACTCGCTATACTTAGATTTCTACATGAAACGCAGAGAATCCATAGAGAATAGTAACCTTTTACTTAAGGAAAACAGTTCTTATTCACAGGAGGTTCCAGAATACATAAGTCTTATGATAATAACAACGTCAAACTTAGTTAAATTAAGTACCTAACTGGAAAAGATTTTATAAGATTTCATAAATCTTACATAATTATAACTTGGCCCCGACTAGATTAGCTCGTTCAAAGTTCAACCCTCAAGTGCCACAAGAACAGCCAAAACTCGTTAAGAAACTTCGTGTACTTATCATTATAGTGCGTTATCATTCGTTAACATAAGGAAAGCGATGAAATTAAACGCGGAAGTGACCCGTGCGAGTGCTAAACGAGGCGGCCGCCTGGCGTCCCGTTTATTTTAGTTTGCCAATCCGCAACTGCGGCGACGTTGAGGCAGGTCAGGTCCAGGCACAGGCACTCACTGCAAGCCCTAAGTACTGGGGGAGCGAATATAGGTCATCGAGGCCCGAGGGAACGCGCCCGCCGAGCGTGAAGCGATCCTTTTTGCTTTCGACTGCACTTCGCCGACGGATGCGTGAACTTTATCAGCGAACGTTGGGGCAGGTCGTCGAGGTGAACGTCCTTCGTATCGTTTTCGCCTTATCTCGCCACCGAGCAATTAGCTTAGCGCTTTTCCACGCTAAGAGTGAACACGATCGCTTTCCTTCTAATCAATTCACGGAGGGCAAAAAACGAGTTTGCTTTTTAGTGATTACGTTCAGCTCTGTGGGAACGCCGCGGGGGCTCACCGCGACCATAACATCTCGGCTCAGTCGAGCAAAACCTAGTCTAGACTCGGTCACTCCTATATACCCATCTCCACCCCTCTCACTTTCCACGGCGATTTGTAATCGAACCGCAGTAATGAACAGAAATCGCGCAACAGATTTATTTGACAGTGTTTATACGGATTTAATTTGTTTTGGAGCACCCGAAGGTTTTCATGTAACCCGACGGGTGGTCCCCGAGGCGACGTTAATCAAATCTTACGACATAAATAAAATGTCGAGCAGTGCTAATGTTTGGAATGAATTCAGAGAAGCGCGGTCGGGAATCGTTTTAATTAAAAGTTTATTAAGCCGCGGGATAATGTACATGAAGATGAAACAAGCGTGCACTTTTATTTTTCTCGTCTCAGAACTTTACAAACACGTTCTCAAGTGTTAAACGTGCATATAATTCTAGCTATATATAGATCTATAGGTATATTCTTCGCGAAATATTACAAATGGCGTTAATTTTCACCTTGCAAGAAAGTAGATAGTGAGTCAGTGAGGTGGGCCTGTACCCTTTGTTATCGCGGTGTTAACGGCCGCAGACAGCGGTCGGACGTGGTGCCCTTCAGCCGCCGAGGCCTTGGCTGGATTTAGACTCGGTTCGATAAACCCGACGCTATTTGTTTCGCTCTCCGCTTATCAGCCCTTTTATTTCGGCGTATTGCGAGTGTGGGATAGAAGCGGTGGGATCGAAAACAGAGCGCCAAATTGTGTATGGGCGAATTCGCTCAAAAGAGGCATTTGAGATCGATTCCTTCTAGAAGGTCGGCAACCTCGGGGACCTTGGCCGATTTTAAACACAGGTTCGTCGATCGCCCGAATCATTGCTTCGTTTTATAACTTTCCCCGCTCGACTGTAAAGTTTATGTTTAAACTCGTTTCCTTACGATCCACCGAAATAACGTATATAAAACGAGAGAAAAAACATTTGGGAATCGTTGAAAACGGGAATCATCGCTCAAAAATATTCCTTGGCACATCGAACGGTTTGTAAATGTTATTTCTATTATCTATTAGGCTATTAAAGTGCTCGAATTTGTTACAAAATTAACAACAAACTATTATTCTAAACGCATCTTAACCAAAGAAGTAAATGTGATAGGTGAAAGATTAATTCTTATTTTGTCACTCAGGGCCACTTTTTCAAAAGATAGACAAATAGTTTTCTTTTAACAAAAACAATTGTGGCAGGGAAATTATTAAACACGTTAGCAGTCCTTGGCCGAGATAAGTCCGCTAAACGAACTTTTTCATGTGTCGCTTTCTCTTGTATTTGTGGTGCAATAACAAAAGACTTGTCAAAAAGTTTACAAACTATTATAAATATAAAGGAAGACATATTAGATGTATTTTTTTTTCATTTGTATATTATATTCTATGAGTGCTTCACATCACATATTGAGGGATATAATATTCTTTAGACCAAAATACGAATTGCTGATACAAAGTGCTTTCTAACTCCACATGTGAAACTCAATTGAATTTACATTCGGTATTTCTTATATCGGAATACAGCGAGGTGAGGTGTTGTCCGAGACCGAGTCTTGTCGAAGTATTTGCTTAATCAGGCGACGGTTCTCAGCGTGTGAAGATTTCAAGTTTGAAACCACTTCAATTTGGTTAACCATTCTAGCTACGGAGCTACAATTTCGTACTTTCGCACCTTCCGTCTGTTTATGTTCTGAATTTGAGAACGTTGACCCATCCGTTTTTGTGCTATAATTTTAAATGTTAAAACAAACTTGAACTCCTTTTTTGTGAAATTTCTCGAGTCTAGCAGTAAAATATATTTTAAATACAGTAGTTTACTTTTCGTTCTAGAGAGCAGATCTTTTTCAAATACGGGTTAGTAATCAATAGGTTTATTTAAAAGTTTGCGAAGGAAAATAAATATAAATCGAAGAAGTAGATTGTGGATTTAGTCGAGTACTAATCTCAAAGGGTAAGAGGGTGTCGGAGGCAAATAAGTTGTTTGCTGAAGATATCTGTGTTTGCTCTTTGAAGTGGCTTGACCTTCGTCACGATTTGCGATTTAAAAAGGTGTCGATTTAGTCTGAGATTGCTTATCTTATGAAAAAGTTGTGTACTTCCACTTCTGCGAAATACCAGATTGTTTACTCGAGTCCTTTAAATTCACATCGCAACAATTAGTTGAAAATTAATAAGTATATCATAAAACCCTCTGTTTGTGCATGACATTTATATCGAAAAATACCGTAAATTTACCATGGGAACATTTTTGGTCTTTCTTGATAATGACGTAATGTTTATAGTTAGGCATCATGAAAGCCTCGCATCGAGGACAGAATAATATGCTTTATTACCATTATTACTACGTGACAGGTCACACAATTTTGACTAACGCTGAGATGTCATCTCAGCACAATATTTTGAGGCAATAAAAAATTACTTCTGAGAATTATAAAATTAATGTAGTACTTCTGTGCGACTGTCGCGTTTAAGAGTAACATTTATGAAACCTGTTACAAAAAAATATAGAAGTGAGAAAATATATAGACAAATAGGTTAATTATGTTATTTGAGTCTCCCGTATATTTAATGAGTTCCATTGTTATAGATATTTGTTTTAATTTAAATCTAAATTAAAATTAAATTTAATGAAAATAAAGAATTAAACCTTTTTCTGGAACTTGTTAATGAGACAAGGTGCTAAATTTAATGTTACAAACACCTTATTCAATTAAAATGCTGCAAAACAACATAAAACCGATCAATCAAACAACACCTGCTCGAGCTAAGATGTTCTTAGGTTAGGTCATTGTAGTTGTATCTGGTAAAAAATATCTTGATGGGAGTACTCTAAATATTTCTAATAATTATAATGGACATACAAAGAAAATAATATTTAAAATTCTTGCTTTCAAGCTGTTTATACTTTATACATCATAATCCCACTGATAAAATATGTTTTTGAAAGCGCGCTTTATAGACACGTCAATTAAATAAGATAAATGGGGGAACTTCGCACTTTTTATTGCCCACAGATAAAATATATCGAGCTAATTACTCGATTTTGTTATATGTTATGTAAATACATATATTTTATAAAATGTGCATTGTAGATGTGAGATATTAATCAATCTCATGATGTCATTATAGTTCAGCCAAGTCTGAGCAAGTGCTAACTTGACAACTAAATTATGACCTAATACTTGACGTGCCAAGGACTCTTTGCACATGTGTATTACAATGATGTGCAATAACATAAATTTGTAATAGCATGTAAAGCAAATGTTTAATACTAACGATTACAGTTCACAGAATTCTTAATTATCCCATAATATACTACCAACGTCTAGTTTTATAAGATTTTCAAGCTCTTATAACAAAAGAAATGGATTATCACCCTAACATAGAATGTAATTGTTATAACTCTTATACATTTGTTATTGATAAATGATTTCATCAATATACAATGATCATCAACAGACCAGATACGGAAAAAGTAAAAACAGTCTTGATAACTTCCTGGAGATAAGATAAAGAAATTTATTTATTACTTAGGGAAAGGTAATTAAACGTAATATAAATTAATATTAAGGCATAAATTTAATTGGCTCATATATATTTTTAGACAATACCCAAAAGATCATTATAATCATTCTTTGATTTAAACGAACTATAAAAAAGGAACTTGAGTGCCTTAGGATCCCTTAGCGCCATCTCTTGACAAGAAGTTAAAATATCATTTAAAAGCGCCCAAACATCGTAAACAAAAACATATTCTTTAAAATCAATTTAAATAATATTGAAATATATAAACGAAATTAACAAAATGTACATATATATTCTAAATAGAAAAGAGATGTAGGCAAGTGCGTGTACACATTATACTAAACGTTACTCTATTCGTGTTTTAAGCTAACAGCTAGAAAATTTTGCGTCGTTCGCTTCAGCTGATTTGTACCTATGTACATTTTCAAACAAACTATTTACAATACCATGTAATATTAGGTGTAGAGTGAAAAAAAGTACTTAGTTTCATACGTCACATAAAGAAAAACTTTAAATTAAAAACTGTTTAAAAATATAAGCATAACAATTTTATCGAGCTGCTTTATAATTAAAGTCAACGTTCAATTAAACATTCCAATAGAAAAAGATTAAAGCCATTGATCTTTGTGTAAATAATATGTTTCCAAGGTGACGCGGGCGCGACGTTGCCGCGAGTTGGAAACTACGGCACGGTCTCGAGTCTCCACTGTGCAGCGGCGCCGGTGCGAAGTGCGAGCGTCGACAAGTGAACTCGAATGTAGCAGTCAAGAACGTTCGTTTACCGGCGGCGTCATTCATAACGAGCACTAGTAGCACCATCTAGCGGTCAATGTCGGCATGTCGTTGCCATCTACACGCCAAAGTCGTGTAACAGATGGCGCCACGTGTTGCGAGATTCCGAATGTCGCGAAATTAATTGAAAATTATAATTTTATTGTTATTATTAAAATTCTTTGAGTCGAGTTGAGTTGGTCATTGTGGCTGGCAGAAATTATCGGTTTATTAATAACAACATATATTTAACAAATTTCTTAGCGACTTTAGGTTTTAATACAGAACATTTTAAACTAAAAATGTTCGGTTTAAAACGCGAAATCAATCAAGTTAAAACTAATGACTTGCGTCTCTGGTAAGGCAAATTCGTATTTTCTACGCAAGTGTTGAAGAAACGTTTGCCTAAAGTTAACAAAATGAATATAATCCGTTCTAGTAATAGTAAATACGTTAGTTGCGATTCGGAGCAATGCTTAACCGTGCCGACTCGTTTTCGATTGCAAAAGCAAGATACTTTTAGTAAACACGCAAAGTGTATTGACTCGCAGGGTTGCCAGTCGGCTAAATTAGCACCATTTGAAAATGATCTCATCGCAGCCATTACTCATCGGTCGTCAAGTTACGCGGTCCTTTAACTGGTCTAATGAAATTCGATCCACTTGAACGCATTATTTCACTTTTATGACTATTTATGGCTGCGGGCGTAATGCGCCACAGAAACCGTCGCCACTTCTGCTCCCGAACGACAAAATCTCCATTCCTCGTTAACCCTTTGACAGTTCCCACACCTGGCACTAGAAACTACTAACTTTATTCTACCAATACACACATCCTCGAATTTTTTAATTTAAAAATGTTTGAATATCTAAAAAAACACTTTGAACGGAATAAAACACTAGAGAAATATATTAGTTAATTTATTTACATTTTGATTACGGCCCGACGTTTCGGGTTTCGTGTTTTAAACCGTTAAGTGTTTTATTTAAAGGTGTATTACTCGCGTAAACTACAGACAGACAATGCTAATTATCGTTGAAGATTTCGTCAGTACAGAAAAAATATTTCGCAACTAGGAATCAAACCGTTGACCTCTCAAGCGAA